GAGAATAACAAGACATTCCGAAGGCAGGAGCGATGGCAGCGGAAGTCGCAGCCGTACATAAACCGACTTTGGCGGATGCGGCACTGAAACTACTGCAACCGCAGTCATAGGCACGGCCATCGGCCCGGCGGCCGCTCTTCTCTTGGGATCTATTAGAGAAGTTTTGACGCAAATATTGTGCTTTCGCTTTCACCGACACCTATGCGGTAGCTTCCGTGGATTTGAGCGGGAATTCGCCGTCTCATCGAAACGGATCAGGACGATCGCCCCCGTCGAAGTTGACGGGGCTGATCGCTCGAACACATCCGAAAGCACTCGCGATTGATCTGCGGAGATTTGTTTGAACGAATACTCAGAAAAACGTTGTACTCACCGGTGCGCCGAAGAGCGTGAGCTATCCGCGGTGCCGTTCAGGTCCGAGTATTCCAAATCGGACTCACTTCGATCACCAGGGAGGTGAGAGGAGCTTCTAGGTCGTGTCAGAGTCAGTCAATATTGTCGAATATACCCTGGTCTAGCTGGTTCGTATAATGTAATGTGCATTATTCGTTTTGAAGGGAGCAACCCGAGAGCCTTGAACCTGGACGAGGCCAGAATCTCGGAGTCTTTGTTCTGTCAATGTCAGCCAGAGCGATGATCGCTTCCGCTATTAGTGCTATTATGTGACATGCTCGCTTCTGATTCTTTAGAGCATGGGATTCGATGAGTGGCTGTTGAATGCAGCATTCTTTCGTACCGCGTCACTCTTTGGAAGGATTTCATCTAGCACCCGGAACTTCGCTTGGAAGATGTCACTGACAGTTCTTGGTGGAAGTCGCCGTCGTTCACAGGGAAGAGTTTCGCCTGAGCTTGCATCTTCGGGAAACCACGGACATGCTTCTGCTGAACTTCACTAGATTTTCCGGACGAACGGATCTTCTAAGCTCCCCTCGAGCCCATCAATGACTATCGCCCCAGCATGAGAATTAACAAGCGCCAACTAATGATGAGGTCTAACATTACTCTGTGGCGCGAAATGCTTCACGGAGCATTCGGCGCGTGTCTTTTTTCTGTCGCGTGCCCAGACAAACCAGAAGCGGTTCTTGTTCGGCGGTTTCATCGGGGTACAGATGAGTGATTCAGATCCGGCTGCTGGTGAAGTGTCACTTCCCGTGAAGCGTTCTACGCACTCCCGAGATACTCGATGTCGGAGCTTTCAATAATTCTCTTCACATCCAACTCGACGCAGAGTGCTCATGAGACATTCTTTCACGTGATCTGGCTCCGCTCCCTTAATAGTCGCCTCGGATAGGGCTCGCGTAGATGGATTCCCGTGAGAATCTAGATGATTCAATTATCTTCATCGGAGTTGACGGCGGGCAGTGAGGACCGCAGCAACGGCTTTGAGATGATTTCTGCATCCGATCCGAATATTCAGCGAATTCAAATATTGGAGTGATCGATCGTGGGATTCTCAGTGTTTCCCCATCGTGTCTTCACTTCCAGGTCTTCGCCGAACGATCACCTACCACCCTGATCACACGGGGTCCACGAAAGTCTGCCTTCAGGGATCAGGAGCAAAAACATAGATATACGTTTCGTCGGGTAGGTATCCTGTATTATTTCTTCATTGCGATAATCTTCGCTCGAATGAGCCTCTTTCAATCGCTTCGCCTATTAGGATGGACAAACTTAACTTCCTCTCTTCACTGTGGGCACTCGTCTACTCCGGAACCTTCTTCATCCTGTGTCCTTGCGGAGCCGGCCATGATCGCCCCGGAGGTTCGGATACCCGGAGTTCAGGACGCCTTTTCTTCCGCGGGTCTCCCGCGACACTGCAGCACTCAAAGGATGCCCCCCCTCCAGGAAGTCTCCGTAGCATTGGGGGCTATCGTGTAGAGAGCCTCGAATCATTGTAAGAGACGCCGGGATTGATTGTGAGTTGCGTCGAGCGAGACTCTAGACCCCTGATGGAATCTGTTGGCATACGCAAGTGGCACTTCAAGGCAGCCGAATCGCTCTGGTTCCGACAGTCTGAGCCGGTCTGACGCTTCGCGGCCTTCGTGAGCTTGAAAGATTCACTCCGCCGGGAATCGATTGCGCTGCCGATGGGACACCCTCGAGGCCAGGGATCAAATATGTCGCGGTCTGCGTACGCGGGCTTTGACGAGCTCGAGTATTCTGAAGATTTTCGAAATAATGAAGTCGAGCTTGGCCGCCGAAACACGAGCAAAGACGACATCGAATTGAGAAAAATCATATCAGATCCGATTCTCAGGTCGCTCACGGGGTAAGCTCGCTGGACAGCGTTCGTGAGACAAAGAGCTTCACTGGAACTCAGACGTTGAAGCTCATGAATGATCCTCAACTCTCTTCCCGGAGGTTGAGGCTTCGATGAGCCCCTCTACCCAACGTAAACGAATGTTAAGCAATCTGAATGAGCTGTTGAAGATCGATAAATAATGAGATGGGTCCTTATTACTCTTATTAGATTGAGGTGCCTCATCGGAAGAGCGACATTTGATTTCGGGATCCATCTTTTGCTGAGTGAGCCCTCATTCCCCGCTATGGCACAGTCAGAAGAACGATTTGAACTAGTCTGCTCATTCAGGCTGATCGAATGCAAATATCATAGGTCACTCAAGCGAGCTCGAGTGAGACCATGAGAATTGAAATTAGTTTGATAGACTAAATATATCCAGCGTTCGGTCAGCTTCCTGATGGTTGGAGCCGTGTGAAGCAATTGATGCAATGATTTCGAGAGGATTTCTTCGAGAGGGAGCAATCGTTCCATCACACAAGAAATTCTGCCCGTCGAGCAAACAACACATTCCCCGGTCGCTTAATCGCGCTCACATATGAGAGCCGAGCTCCCAGAGAAGCCGTCCGCGAAAAAATTGAAAACGAGGAGTCTAAAGACCGCTCATCAGAAGGGGTTCATTATTATCGCGGATTCCAGGGTATCTCCCATGTCGTGGGATTCGCTCGCCGATTTTTTCCCTGACAGAAGATTATCACATGAAAGAATTCACCCTCACTACACATCCCCGTCTCGAGGCAATGTCGTATAGGTCGCGAACGTATTGTCCGAGTTGGTCACAGGCGAGCTCTATCGTTCACGGAACCTTGCGCCTTTCCAATAAGAATTCGTCGAACGGAGTCTCATACCATGGGTCATGAGTCACAGCACAACCTATTGGAAGAGCAGAGCCGTCGACGGGTGGCCGAATCGAGCATAGCCAATGTAATTCACGCAGAAGGCCGGACGTAAATATATCTCGACGGAAGCCGATTGAGCTCGAAGAAAATGGGAGGAAACCGAATGGCGTAGCTCAATATCGATTCCAAGTTGCTGATTTGTTCCCGTTTGGGTGAAGTAATCGAGTGAAGATTTGTTGCTGCTTTCCCGATGCTGCCGTAATCGCAGGACCGATGCGATCTGGCTACGAATGACTCAAGTGTTTGCGGTGGCCGAGGTGGGATGGCTCTCGTCTGTTTACCTATATTGCGTTGATAAACCGGGCGTGGTTCCCACCGTGTGAGCGATTCGAGTGCTTTGCGGGCAGCCCACCAGGACCGGCCATCGCAGGCGCCACAAGCTCCTCGGAACCAGTCATCGCCGCGTAAAGAATAGGAGCGGCTGGTTGCCGAATCCTCTCGATGTGCGTTCGAAGCGAGCGCGGATTTCTTTCCTCGAGAAGGGTTTTCACCGCTCTCTTAGATGGGCTCCTAGGAACTTGAGGCTGCTCGATGCATCCTGTACTCGAAATTTAGGTGCTCGCAGAGCAGTCGAGGAACTGGTTGGTATTTCGTTTCATTTGAATCGAAAGCGGGTAATCATCTGAGCAACTCCGGCGCCGAAAGCCACAAGGTTCGCTTTTATGATTGACGTAGAGGGCGCTGTCATGATTTACGGCTTCCAGGAGAGTTTAAGGTCCAGGAAAGCGAGCGGAGACAACACTGTTCCCTCGCAGGATATCTTCATGGGAGGAAAGGTGAGTGGGGAAACCAGGCGCTGGACGATGGAGAAAGAGTTTGAAAGCGTTTATTTCCACTGACCGACGGAGCTTCCCGTGGCAATCGTCACATCTCCATCGTTCACTAAATGATCGATACCGAGCGTGAAATGAGCCGTGCGAGACTGAAATCTGTTTTGTTCACGTGCAGCCATCGGGTGAGCTCCAAGGCATGATCGGAGCACCAGGGAATGTTGAACACTGACCCGGGATGTCGGAGGAATTCGAATATGATCACCTGACCGAGATAATTACCGAACGGAGAGCATCCTCTGGAGATGTGGCCTTCTGACGTCGTGGTCTGCCTGTTCCTCGGCGTCGCTCTCGCCGATCGTTCGCTTATCCGACGCCGAGTGGATCAGCTTCGAGTATACAATTCCTACAAACATTTGTGCCGTGGAGATACTAAACGTGAACCGAACCTAATTGCTCTGGCCGGAGATGTGTGCTACTGTGATCATCTCTGTGTGAAATTCGGCGATTGCTGCGTCGACTACCCTGGAAGTGAGGCCATCAGAAATGAGAACTTCACCTGCGAGCGCTTAGGGCATGGTTTCAAGTTTTATTACTCGTGGTCGAGCTGTGCTAATGACACTCTGAAGAGGGGTTGCACATCGAGTGAGCAGAGGCCGTCGTCCTTGATGCATGAGCCCGTATACCTCAACGGGACGCTCTACAAGAACATCTACTGCGCTCGATGCTCTCAGTCAGAGCACTACATAAAAACTCACAAGTATAAGTGGAGGGAAAAGTCAGCCTGGAAGCCCGCTGTCCCGCCTCACGGCGAAGAGTTGAAAAAGATCTTCAAGGGTCGAAGCTGGATTTACAATGAGTCTTCGAGGGAATACCATATCTTCTTTCAAGAGGTACCTAGGTCTATTCGACAAATTCATTCATTTACTCATCGTTCATGAGTAGATGTGGATATCGCGGACTGAGATATTCTAAATGGAATTCAATACCTCCTCCTACCGCATTCAGCAAGAGTTCAGAATGTGGCTCTATATCGAGGAATTCGACTGGACGAATTTCACCGATGTCTTCAACACGAGCTTGTGCCCACCCTTTCAAACCGTGAATTTCTGCACGGATCCCACGACACCGTACGCTGATCTCTGCGCGGCATACACCGCGTATGTACATACAGGTGAGCGGGAATCTGTGGGTTAATTTTTGGAACTTTAGGTGCTCCCTTTCAATCCATTGTTAGCGGAAGATTCGATCAGGCGAGGATTATCTGTCCGAGTTTATGATTCATTGACTTCATTCATTTTCCGCAGTCTCAAACGGTAATATCACCGTCTACAGAAACGCTCACTGCGCGCTATGCAGCGGCGTTCCTCTGGGAAACCTCACCGTGGGATTGCCAATCCCACCTCGCGAAGAAACGACAACCACTATCGGTAACTTCATACCTGTGAAGGAAATCGAGTGCCCATTGGGCGCCGTGCACGTTATGGGTTTCTGCAAACCAATTCTGTGTCAGTTAGGGTTCGAGTGGAACGGCGTCCAATGCGTAACGGAAACCGGTCAGGCCGGATGCTTCTACTTGACGCTTGACGTGAAATGGGTCCGCTTTGTAGATAGCAATATATTGTTGTGGAACCATAAATGGTTTAGTCCCTACACCAATATCACAGATAGATTTGGCGTTGTCACCAATGTGAAGGTGTGCACCTTCACGCCGATTACCACAGCTATAACCCCGACTATGGAGCGAATATCTGAAGTGTGTCTGATTAGTTCCTGTATCTGCTTGAGCCTACAAATTATTACCTATATCATCCTTCCCTCCATGCGCACGACACGTTCCGGAAAAATCGTGATTTTATTGAGTCTGAGTATCGTCTTGGGTCACGTCATGTTCCTGGTCAAAGACGACACCGAGCCGGGGAACAACGTCTGTAAGGCGGTTGCTGTCCTGGCGCATTTCTTCTACATAGAATCTTTCTTCTGGATGCTGGTGATGGCCATAGATTCGTGCAGATGTTTGGCGTTCAATGTGTTCTCCAGGACGGAGAGCCACGTCATGCTGCGATACGCAATTTTCGCTTTCCTGGGCACGCTGAGCGTCGTCTCTCCCGCCCTCGCTCTCGACTTCCTGGTGCCTTCCAGTGGCTTCGCCCCGATGTACGGCGAGGAGGTGTGCTGGTTCGGGAATCGGGGAGGCTTCATGATGTTCTTCGCTGTTCCTGTGCTGATCATCATCCTAGCGAATTTCGCGCTCTTCATCATCACCGCCGTAAAAGTTCGTTCGGTGCAGAAGAAAGCTCGTAGCTTAACACAGCAATCGAATTTCAAATCTGAAATCGTCCGCATGAAACTCTACCTCAGACTAGCCGTAATCATAGGACTAACGTGGTTATTCGGGGTGCTCACATTTTTGGTTGACAGTGGGAGCTCCGAAATCTACACGTATGCTTTCTTTCTGCTAGGTTTCGTGCAGGGGGTTTTCATATTCGTGGCTTTCACTTGTAAAGCCCGAATCCTCAGGGACATCCGCGTAGTGATTGAGACTAAATCCATAAGTCGTAGTTCGCTGTACCGAACAAGCACGAACTTGGCGAGCGTTCCGTCGGCCAGAACGGATCGTTCGGTGCCTCTATTGAAACCCGGGAATAACTCATCTGCGTGAAATGTTTTGTCCTGGTCTGGTATCATCATCAGGGAGCGAATAAAACTGATGAGATTGTTCTCTGGCTTTCGCTCTTGAGTCATCATCGCTGACTGACTGAAGACTTTGGGGTCCATTTTGGTCTTTCGGATGCCGCGGGGAGGCAATCCGAGAAGTGCCGAAGCTCGAGCCAACGGATAGAACTCCGAGAAGGCCGTCGGTCACATTCAATTTCACCAAGTCCCGAGACTTTCATGGCGCCCATCGCTCATGACTCAAGACGCTCACCGTCGACCGCCTGCCACGTACGAACAGCGTGAAGTGAAGATCACGTCATCAACAGCCGCCACGTTTGTTGATTTTGTCGCCCCTCGACTTGACTCTCTCAGTTCAGCACCGACTGTCAGAGGATTCGAATGTAAGTTCTGTGATGAAATTCCACGATTTCCGGGAGCAATCCGATTTCCTTATTTTCGAGTAGAACCGCCCAGGGTCTGTCGTACCGCAGGTACACATTTCCGCCAATGACTGAGATTCAGTGACTGCCCGGAGTGAGCTCGTACACTTGATTTCGTACGGTTTGTTATGAAACCAGAATCATCCAAGAATCGATTGTCTGCTAGAACCGGTGTTACTGAGAGTTCTGAGAGAGACTGAGCGCTCTGCACGTGCTCGTCGCCCACGGAGTCGTTCTTCAGAGATCGATCGCTGCCCCTTCCGCGGCTCTCTATCGGAACGAATCCCGGAGAAGGCTATCTGTGTGTGAACTAGAAGTGTCCGAGCAGAATACTCGTGTTTCCGAACTACTCTAAGCACAGTCGCTTCTCCGCGCCTCGGACCTCAGCACAGGGACGGAGTGCTATTCCGAAGGTGGAAGAGCGCGTAAGCCGGTGCTGTCACGCTACTGGTTCGTCGAATCTTCTCATCCACTCGCTACAGTGACATCGGACCCATAAGTCTGCCGAGCTCTGACCGTCTCGGAGAACGAATCACTGAAAGTCTGTTCTTCGCGCAGGATGGATACGAAGGGCCTGAAAAAAAAGATGAAAAAGAAACTTCCGAAGAAGAAACCGTCGCTCGTGAAAGCGGTTCTCGATGAAGCGAAGAGGAACGAGAAGAAGTTGGCTCAGAAATCGGGCGGATGCCCTACGTCAAAACAAGCCGCAGGTGAAAGTGACTACATCATCGACGGCAGCGCGTCGGTCGCTCCCAAGGACTACATCGAGAAGCCGTCGAGTACTGAGAGAGCGGAAGCTGCTTTCGCGTGGCTCATAGCGCCGGTGTCGACCCAAGATTTCTACAAGAATTATTTCGAGAAGAAACCATTCGTCGTACGGCATAAGGATCCCTCATATTATAAACATCTGCTTAGCACAAAGCAGCTGGATACAGTGTTACGCGAGCGAGACGTTCACTTCGAGAAAAACATCGATTTGACGTCTTACGTCAACGGCAAGAGAGAGACGGTCTTGTTGGAGGGGAGAGCTCTACCAGCGCTCGTTTGGCAGTACTACTCCGAAGGCTGTTCGGTGCGTCTCCTCAATCCGCAATCGTACGTCGAGGCTGTCCACACTCTATGCTACACGCTGGCTGAGCACTTCTCCTCGTTCGTGGGAGCGAACGTCTACTTGACTCCTGCCGGAACGCAGGGTTTCGCGCCACATTGGGACGACATCGACGCGTTCGTCCTTCAGCTTGAAGGCAAAAAACGATGGAAAGTCTATGAACCGAGAAACGAGGACGAAGAACTGCCGCTTGTGTCGTCCGGGAACTTGGATCGGGATGAGCTCGTCGACCCGCCGATCATCGAGACCACACTAGAGACCGGCGATCTGTTGTACATGCCTCGAGGCTTCATCCATGAGGCCTCGAGTTGCGAGGACGACCATTCTCTGCACATCACAATCTCTGCCAACCAGAGGAACACGTGGTCGGATTACCTCAAGATCCTCCTCCCCGCAGCGCTCGAGCTCGCCACAGAGTCCAACGTAGAGTTCCGAAGGACCCTCCCACGGAATTATTTGCAGAATATGGGCGTCATGCATTCGGACCTTGAGAACAAAGCGCGGCAGATGTTCTCGGAGATCGCTTCGAACCTGGTCCAAAAGCTCCTGAAAGAAGCACCCTTTGACCCGGCGGCGGACCAGATGGCCGTGAACTATATGCATGATTCTCTCCCACCCGTTTTGAATTCTTCCGAGAAAGAGCTAACGGCAAGCCATCGAGCGAGATGGAATTGCGAGACGCTCAATGGGAACTCCTCTTTCGACCATGTCAATCCGGAAACTGAAGTGTGCTTGATCTCGAAGAACTGCGTGCGCGTCGCCTCAGAAGAAGAATCGGTATTCGCGTATCATATCGCTGACAACACGAGCGTGTACCGAGAGCGCGAAGAACCCTATAAAATTGAAATAACCCCTCCCGAAGCTAACGTCATTGAGTTCCTTGTCTCGAAATATCCAGCTTTCGTTCGCTTGAAGGACATCCCGCTCGAGGGCTCACCGGAAGATGTCAGAGAGATCATCCACACGCTCTACTTCAAGAACCTCCTTCTTGCGAAGTGAAGCGCTGAATTTGTAAATTGTGAAAATCGACATATTGATGTTGATATCGAGCCTTCCAATAAAGAAGCTGGTGGTGTCGGTTATGCCGGGAATATGATTTCACCTGTCCTCTTTGAAATCACCAACATTATCCGTAATTAGCCCACACAATCCTCGCGGGAATAAGGTGTACATACACTCGCGATTTATCAAAGCGGCGTGTCTCTGGCGATTACAGGTATGATGCGGCGGCATAAAACTTTATGGATACCTCGAGCAATTCTCCATGGCAGAGAGCGACCCTGAAAGGAGCGCATCTCCCTGCCATCATGAAAACAGCGGCCCCAAAGCAGGTCGCATTGAAGAAGGTTCCAGCGTCCGCTCACGAGCACCGCACTGGACTCCATGGCGGCAGAGCGTTCGCGCTTCTGGCAGTATGGTGAGTTGATGTCGGTTCAGAATAATTGCTTCTCCAGGTTCGTATCCAGCCATTGTGGCGGTCCACATTAGACGCGTCGATTGATCTGCGGAGGGAAATTCATTCGAGATCTCTCCTTGCAGGTACTTCTTTAGCTTTACAACGCTCATATTGAATAAGTACTTCTTATCGTCACAAGATGGAGATCCCATTGTATTGGCAGTGTGTCAAATGTTGGCATGTTGTCTAGTGGGAGGTGTGCAACTACAATGTGTGAAGAAACCAGGGTCTTCCTACGCCAAAAAAGAGAAACTCTCGAGCGCAGCTGTCCTGGGAACCCTTCGATTCTGCACCGTCCTTTTCGGTGAGTGTACGATTAGGAATCAAAAAATTGGCGATCGGCCTGAGCGCAAATCGGTTCAGAGGGCATCTTCCCTCGACCAAGAGAGTCTTGTCCACCGCGCCTCTACGCCAGCCTCGTACATAAGGGCTTCCCAACAGCTTATTTCCCTTCCTTCTCTAGGGGGAACTAACGAGGGGTTCTCTCGACCTTCCAGGTCTAGTCACTCTGTGGTACGTGCCGGTGTCGTTTGCAGAAACGGTTAAAAGCTCCGCGCCGGTTTTCACGGTGCTCATTGCTCATGTAGTGATCGGGGAACGCACTCCGTGGCTTGTTGCGCTTTCTTTGATGCCCATCATGATCGGCCTTGCCTTATGCTCCGCCAACGAGCTCAGTTTCAACCGCTCGGGATTCTTCGCCGCTATGCTCACGAACGTCGTTGAATGGTGAGTTAGATGAGAGTACCGAGGACAAGAAGGACGAACTCGAGCTCCGGTCTCCGTGGCCTACTTCGAGCGTGATTCTCCAGAAGAAAAATCTGAATCGTCGTTCTCCAGTTTCCAGAATGTTCATTCGAAGCATATGCTCTCGGAAGACAGCAATCGGATGTCACCGCTGGAGTTGCAGGCGACTTCATCGTTCTTTTCCGTTCTGTTGTCGCTCCCTTTGTTCCTAATTCACACGCCGAGCTCTGCCCAGGACGATGCATATCCTCCTCTTCTGGTCCTGGCCTTCGCAGCCGTCTCCTTCCACCTCCAGAGTCTGGTCGAATACGCTTTACTGACTCGAATCTCGCCCGTGACGCACAGCGTTGCCAACACGGTCAAACGCGCTTTGATGATCTGGTTATCGACCTTCGTTTTCGGTAATCCCGTCACGTTCCTCAGCGGAGTCGGGACCCTGATCGTGTTTCTCGGTGTGCTGCTCTACAATCACACCCGGGAGATCGCGTATAGATCACACGCTCCCAACATAAAACTGAAAGAGGTCCTAGTCACTGATCACGACGTATAGGTCGGGAGCTAATGTTTGCTTTCATATTTATACATATAGTTGTCTGAGCTAGGGTAAGATCTGCGAATGATTCGACAGCCTCTCCAGCAAATCGAAGGAACAGACAATATGTCGGAGCTCGGCAGTCTTGAGGATTCCGCAATTGGATCGGAGTTTCGCCGACTCCTCGGATGCTCAGCTTCGGATACGGCGAGCGATCTGTATCTTGTGATAGTTCATGATTCCCAAGCTGTTGTGAGATTGACTTTCCTCGGAAGCCTACGTGAGCTAGCATCGAAGGAGCTAGAGTGTGTAGGAGGTTAGTGAATGTAATGGGGAGATGTTTGTGAAGGAATGGATGATGAAGGAAATTCAGGATGAATAAAGTCTATTTTGGAACATTCATCGAATCTTCAACTTGGTGCTCTTTGTGCGCCGGGACCGAATTCCCGAAAACACAAGACGGGGAGACTCTCTTGAGGTCGCATCGTGCAGGTCAGATCGACCCACGCCCCGTCGGGGAGATGGTGGATCCTCAAGGACGGCATACCGTATATCTTCAGATGGGTCGTGATGCCGTCGCTGTAATGATGCTGAATGATGGAGTAGGTTATCGTTCGATATGTAGTCGCTCATCAGTACTTCAGAATGAGATTTGAGTCAGCTGATCATGCTACTCTTCCCTATAAAGGATTTCATCTGGAAGGCATCAAATGCGACAAAATGATCAGAGTAGAGTGGCTGGGAACCAGGAATGAACAAATTTTATTCGCAATTTATTATTCCATTTCTACGGATAATCGCGGGTTTGGGCTCGTATGCCTAGTCTCTGACAATAGCTGTCTTTGAATCATTTATGCACATGTTTTATTTACATAGAATAATCGACTCGGCCGAGGAAGATTTTACAGCTCCAATTAAGTATGTACCCATCTCGCTCTTGCGTGATACCTCCATTCTATCAGGGAAGGATGCGCAAGCTGTTTAAATACAGAACCAAACAGGGGAATATTCACAGAGGTAGAAGCTGAAAAGTATCCACGCTACAACATCGTGATCTCGATTGGAACAAACAAAAGCGCTCTCTCTCACTTTTTTTCACGATCGCGTTCTCTCGCTCAATTATAAACAAATTATTACCACAACTGACTCATTTTTTGATTTTCTGATGTTTCTTCTGAGGCTTTTTGTTCTTTGTACAGCGCGTGCAGAACCACTGGACATCCTCGGACGGCGGCTCATCGATACCAACGCACTCCCAGTGGTACCAATCGTCACACTGATCACATCTGGAATAAGGACGGTATGAGTCGGTTGTTCGCGCCGTATCTCACACGGGAAACTCCGGGGAAGGGCCATGGAACTATCTTCCGTGCCACAAGGGAATTCATCGTTATCTATCAGCGAGCTCTCGAAGGGCTCGACGATCCTCTCAGGAAAAGCAAACTAACCCGATCATTGGACTTCCGTCGTCGGGTTTTGCACAAGCTGGACAAATCCAGATTTTGTTACCGTCTTCGTCTATCGTTGTTCCGACGGTAACAACCTCGACTTGAGCTCCTTTCGAGTCCTTTTTCTCCTTGGATTTCTTCTCCTTCTCCTCTTTCTTTATCGCTTGTTTGGGTTTCTTCTTGTCTTTTTTCGACGATGGAGCGGGTATCGGTGTAATTGTAATCTCGGGGTGAACAGGCGTCACCGGTAGCGGTGAGAGAACCTAAAAAACCAATCGAAGGTCAATCATTGGCCTACTCTTTGCGAGTTCACGGTTAAAGGTCCCCCGAAGTAGAATCTTCCGCCGGGAACCTCTCGAGTGGCGTTTCCCCAAGTCCCACCTTGGAGTTCTTCGATGATGGGGTGGTTTTCTCCTTCTTATTGCTAGGAGGCTTCTTTGGCTCCTTGATGCGCAACGCTTTGGAAGCGGGAGGAGAACTCATCTTGACAGGAGACAGGTCATCACTGTCGGAGTCGACTTCGTTGACCATCGCCTTCAGGATCGAGGTCTTCTGCTCAAGGAGAGAAAATATTCAGGAGCTGCGGTTTGACTGTGGTGAGGGTTCCCGGATAGATTTCGAGAGTGTCGGGGAGGAAGGATAAGAGCTTTCCCCGTTAAGGAATTCCACCGATAGAGAGCGACTCACCTTCTCCTTCTCTTTCTCCTTTTCCTTGGGAGCCGGAGTCGTACTTATTAGCGGAGTGGGCGCAAAAAGCTGCTCTGTGAGTGAAGATGCCGAACTCAGCTTGAGAGTGAGCTTGGGAACTTCCTTCTTCTTCGATTTGTCCTTCTTATCTTTTCGCTCCTTCTTCTTGTCTTTCTTCTTGAACTTGTCTTCCACCTCGATGGGAGGCATTCCTGTAATCGGGAGGTACTCCTTAGAAATGAGAAAAAGACAAGCGAGATCTCCCGATCGGGGAAGGTCTCAACGTAGACTCGAAGGCCGCGCGCTACTTACCCTTACGCTCGGCGAGAGTTTTAACAGTGAGGGTGCTCACGATCGGTGGAGGCGGAGGTGGCGTCGGAGTGGGAGGTTTCGGTGGAATGGGTGTAATGGTCACTGAGGGCGTCAGGAATGAACTCGAGTCTTCGTTGGTGGGCTGATCTGGCATCTGACGAACCAACTCCACTAGCGGACTCGCCTTGACGGCGTTCTCCTTACGCGCCCCGCTTGTTGGAACTTTCTTTTCGCGGACCTCTGGTTCGTCCGGAGGCGTTTTCGGTCGATCCGAGAAATCGGCTGTATGAATTGAACGGTTTCAACGTTACAAAGAGTCAAAGCGTTGGAGTCGAGCATTCGTTCGGGGAAGACCACCGAAGGAGCGCAAGCTTGAAAAACTCACCGTTGGATTTCACATCGACATCCATATCGCTATCGCTCAGGTAATCGTAATAATCGTCAACTTGTAACTTCTTTCGAGCTCGGTCATCGTCCCGAGACTTCTCAGCAGTACTCTTTCGCGCAGATTCGACAACTGAGTTGATGGCGTCATCGATGTTGCGTGAAAGAACCGCCTTTTCATCCTTGTCGATGGTCGGATCTTCATTATCGCAATTGTCGTCCATTCGAAGTTTAAGCGAGCTTAGACTTTCGTTGTCGGAGACAATGGCCGCCTCTGGATGAACTGTTTCAGCTATGGTCTCTAGTTTCACTTTCGGTATGGGTTTTGGGCTTAGATTCTTCTCTTCAGCAAGGGATAGCCGCGGAGCTTTCGCAGCCTGTGGAAGAGCAATTTCGTAGGGTGCAGCCCGAAAGGAAAAAAATCGAGGAAATTCCCCGACGGGAAATTTCCGCGTTCGATCGGTTGGGATGAACGTATACAGTGAGCTCGAGCTCGATGGGAACTAACCTTGGGCGAACGACCTCCGGGACTTTTGCGCTTCTTGCCTCGCTTGGGTTCCTTCGTTTTCTTCTCTTTCACCGGTTTCTCGATCTTTATTGATGTCACTATCGATTCGCCATTGACTTTCTCATCGAAGAACTTGTTGGCTTTCGATTCCGCTGTCTTGGCTGTGGAAATCCCGACCAGTCGGCGGGGTTAGTATTCGAACTCGCTTGAGGATGATGCATGAAAATTGAACTCCTCAAGACTCTGATCTGAATGGGGAGACAGTCGCACCTTTCCGTTTCTTTTTCGTTGATTTGCTGGGATGCCCCTCCTCGGAACTATCTCCGTCAGAGCGCAAATCCAAGAGAAGCTTCGAAGGCTGGCAAGGATCGGGAAGTTTTCCTTCTCGAATAGCTGACAAATATCCTGAAGGTGTCATCAAGACTGCGCCCACTTCGCGCATCGGAGTTCCCTCGTCTGCTGTTGGCACCTATCGAAGGAATATGATCGGATGAGTCCCACCGCTCTAGAACAGGTGCACTGTTCGGGCGAAGAAGACAAATCTCTCACGTGAACTTACGGGGTCTCCTATGTTGACAAGGGATTCATGGCCCTGCGAAGAACGAAGATTTCAAAGGGTCAACGATTTTCGATCGGGCCGAGGGCATCTTAAAGCCCAACCATATTTTCTCAAACACTATGTCCGGATATTGCTGAAGACTCACCTTCGCTCTCTTGTTAATTGTGAGCTTTATCGATGCGCCTTCCTCAGTTCGCCTTATGGTCGTCTCGACCTGCACGGGCAATGCGATCGTCAAGTCTTGTCATAGATTCGATAACCACGGAACAGGTGAAATAATCGCGGTAATAACTGATTCTGATCTCACTTGGGGTGACTCGGGTACAACCGTATGGGCATCGGAGGTCTCTTCCTCTTGATCCGGCCGAATACTCGGTAGATGTGGCTCGATCCATTCGGGTTTCTGGGGGTCCTGGGTCTTCGGGAAGCACAGTAATGGAGCTTGTTCGATCGGATACAGCGGTAGTCTGAAATTCGGGGAATCGGCTTAACGTCGGGCCTGTTTCGAGCTGTCGTTAATTCTTCGATCGGGGCGAAGAAGCAGCGACACCGCCGTCGGTACGAGCTGTTTCGGGTAAGAAACTTCAGAGGCGGCGATTCTCAACGGTATCCGTTCGCATTACGGGTAGAAAGTTCGGGACCCAATCATGGAAAACTCACTTTTTCGGGAATGGAAGGGAGTCAACATTGAGCATATAGTCGAGGAGTTCCCGCTCGGTGAGACCGAAGTCTCGGAACGCGAGAAACACGTCCTCGGTGTTCGATTCGGTGCGGCCCGCTGCATTGGCGTAGCTGGTCGTACATTTAGATAGTTCTATCATGTACTTTTGAAGGACATCTACCAGTATGCCGAGCGACGTTTGGCTCACATTATGCCAGCCGATATTCTGACAAATGTGGCCGACCGCAACCTTCAGAACCTCCACCGAGAACGCTCGGCTCATATTACTCTGAGGCCTCAACGCTCATTTACAGAGGCTCTGATCGAGGCCTGGATGCGAAAAACTCGACATTTAACGTCAGAATCAAATTTTCACAACACGCACCGCCTCACAGACCAACACTACAACGAAAGCATCTGATGATGATAATGCGCCGTCGATATGAGATGATCTTTGCTTGCTGCTCTTGATCTGCGCGGGCGCCTCCGACGAGTATATCAATGTCGGAGGCCACGTCGATTCCGCCGTCCGTAGGTGGGGGCGTCGCTTCCTTCTGATGCCCATCTTCATCGACGAGATCCGGCACATCGTTAGGAGTTGTTGTGACCCGATGAGTTCCAAGTTTTCGCAGAAAAAAATCCCTGAGAGTCTCCTAGTCTCAAGCTACGAGCTCTCAGTAACCCGTCGGCAGGATCCTATCGCGACGTTTTCGTTATGCCAGATGGGTCTTCTGTTAGATCGGGTAGAGAACTTTAAGGAATTCGTGACTGGAATGAGTTGTGACTCTTCAAGTCCGATTCTCGCCCGACATCTGTACTGCCGCGAGAGTCCATCTCGAATCCATTCAGATATGTTCTGCGGGATCATGACAAGGCAACTCGGAAAGGTAAACTTGGGAGACGTCAGGACCTGAGAATTCACCATCCGATCATCCAGCACTTCCTGCAAGGATCACCGCCCCCATGATACCCACACCCTTGACAAAAGACTCCATCTGCCGTGATATCTCTGTGGCAAAGTTCACCACGGGCGATTCTAACAAAGAATCATAAAATGAAATACGGTCGCTCGAAGATGATCGACGATTGACGACTCTCTGCTTAGAAATCTGTACATATGCTCTGGGATTCGTAGCCGGTTGGGATTCGTAACCGTCGATTATTATTGAAATTCAGAATCTATACAATGTACATCTATCTAATAATCGGGTCTAGGTAATCTTACATCACAACAAAGGCCGGCGGCCATTTTTTTTGAGGGAGAGGGTGAAAACAGCCAGGATTCTACCCGCTGAATCAACGGCGCATGTCTAGGTAACCTTACATCACAACAGAGGCCGGCAGCACTTTTTTTGAGGGATAGGGCGGAAATAGCCAGGATTCTACTCGCTGAAGCGATGAGTCAATAGAGGAATCGGAAAATTGGATTGATTTCCGAACTTCGATTCCTCCGGCCTATATATGACGACTTCGGAATTCCCTTATGCAAATGACGTGGAATCTGTTCAGCTACACGGTGGAGACTATACCATATCGATCAGGAACGTTTGTGAATTTTCATACCGATTCTTCCAACATACCCGATTATATCGCTATTCACTTGCTTTGCGAGGGAAACCTTATATCCGAGTGATGATACCGTCAACTCATATCCTCACTCCCACACTTCGAAACCCCTCGTGAAAGCCGACAGGTTCCTTTCGTCCGAACCTCTAATAAGTCTCAGCAACCGCGATGACGCGACTCAAAGGAAGGGTTTATCAAAGATTCACTTGGACTTTGCATCGCTCGAGTTTGCACACTAACGGAATGGCATACGCTGGGACACTGGACACTCCTACTGTTTCGACAAGGGCGATCAAAGTTACGGACTTGGATGATACGGGCGAGGATGGAGAAACTTCATCTCGAAGATATATCGTATCGGTGCTTGATAAGCCCCTCCCTTGAGGAGGGTGCCTCTTTTCGGAAGCTGTCATCGCGCGCTTCGATCCGAAAAAGGTTGAAAAGGTCACCTCCTCCTCGGGCGAGGAGTGGGACATGTTATCTCGATGATATATCCTATACCTACAGGTATTCGATCGACCCTTGCCCGGGGTCGCTTTCGCGCGGTTGCTGAGCAATGATGTGAGAAGCTGATGAAAAACTTTAATTAAGAATGCTTTCTGTACAACACAAAGATAGCGATTCCGGAATGAGGGGCCACTTGAGGGTGTTCCCAGACGCAGTCATAGATCGATGCGATCCGGAGAGGGTGAACGAGGTCGCCTTTCAGGTTGATACAGATGAGGAGGAAGACAATTGCAGTCGACGATATATTCTATACCTATAGGTCTTTGATAAACCCTTTCTTTGAGTCGCGTCATCGCGGTTGCTGAGACTTATTAGAGGTTCGGACGAAAGGAACCTGTCGGCCTTCACGAGGGGTTTCAAATGTGGGAGTGAGGATATGAGTTGACGGTACCATCACTCGGATATAAGGTTTTCCCTCGGAAAGCAGGTGAATAGCGATATATTGGGGTACGTTGGGGGAATCGGTATGATAATTCACAAACGTTCCTGATCGATATGGTATGGTCTCCACCGTGTAGCTGAACAGATTCCACGTCATTTGCAAAATGGAATTCCGTAGTCGTCATATATAGGCCGAAGAAATCCAAGTTCGGAAATCAATCCAATTTTCCGATTCCTCTCTTGACTCTCCGATTCAGGGAGTAGTAGAATCCTGGCTATTTCCGCCCTCTCCCTCGAAAAAACTGCCGCCGGCCTCTGTTGTGATGTAAGGTTACCTAGACATGCGCCGTTGATTCAGCGGGTAGAATCCCGGCTGTTTTCACCCTCTCCCTCGGAAAAAATGGCCGCCGGCCTTTGTTGTGATGTAAGATTACCTAGACCCTAATAATCAGTGCTCGTTGCCGAGTCGGCTAGAGGAGAGGGAAGCAGACAGCCCTCTCCAGTGGATTTTCGGCGGAAACAGCTGACGCCACAGAATTCTGGAGTTCTACTCTGTGCGAGTTCGAAAACTGCAGAATATTTGAGTACGATGATTCTCACTATGCGAGGCTCTTCTGAAGTGTGCCGATGATCCCCTGAGAAGTATTCAGCCTCGACGTAATCTCCCCGAAACAGGTGAGGCGGTAATCTAGGCGACAATTCCAGGAATGGAGAGTCTGAGCGACCATGATACTTCGAGTTGCCGGGTCGTCGATTCGTTGCGAGATGCGCTGAGACTCTGTGGAATCGCACCCGAAAGAAGGTCCTGTATCCTCAGGGATTCCGGGAGGAAAAATCTTTACGGCGGCCCACGCGGTTGCACGGATCATTCCGGTGACTTGTTCGGACTTGTGCTGCGAACTACGAAACTGACTTTGTTCTCTCGCTTGCACAAGTGACCACGTAAAGGATACCCTTGAATAGATAGACTCGATGTTATCGTTGCACAATTTATGCTCGACTAGTCTCAGTGGCTTGACCATCAAACGATCAGTGATGATATTCGTTCCCGAGCCTAAGAGTCCTTCGGATCCTGCATTCCCTGAGTTTTTGCCGGGCTAAGAAATACTGAGTGAGTAAACTCTCCACTTGCAGGGATGTCTTCTGAGACCGGGAAGAAATTCTGTGCTGAGTACGCGGCGCGTGGCACGGCAGGCTGTAAGAAATGCAAGACGAAGATCGAAAAAGGACTCCTGCGCATTGGTCGTATCGTACCCAATCCCTTCTCTGATGCAGGAGGGGAAATGAAAGAGTGGCAAGTCATGGACGCGGATTTCCTGCAGATTGCTTCTAATGATCATTTCTTGGAATTTCCGCTCCTGGACGTACCTGATTGCGGAATGCTTCCAGGTTCCACGTAGCCTGTATCTTCGACGTGCTGAGTCGGGCTAGAGCCACCACAAAAGTCGTCGAAGAGGCCGAAGATATTGACGGCTTTTCTGAATTGAAAGTTGAAGACCGGAAGCTCATAAATGAGAAGATCGATGAGTTGCAGGTGGGTGGAATCGCAAGGACTCGAATTTTCAATCCACTGTTCTTTGAGAGCCAAGATTCCAGATAGTTCCAAATCTCAGGAACTCGTTCAGGCGAAAAGAGCGAAGACGAAAGGAACACCCACCAAGCAAAGCCCGAACCCGAAAGCATCCTCGACAAAAAAAGAGAGCACTGTGAGCATCGATTCATATAACGCCGCGCCGCATTGCTTCGAATGATCAGCGTCGAATGCCATTCATAATAATCAGTAATCAGCAAGTGTCGGGAAAAGTATTATTTCCTAACGAATATCCTAAATGAAGGCGGTGGAAAATGCGTCATCGGAGGGGGGAACCGTCGGAACGAACAGGGACTTCGAAAATCATAAGGACAACGCTTTCAAGGAATTCCGACGTCTTTGTGCGAAAGTAAGCCCGTTCACAATCGATTGGAGTATTTCTGCTAGGTATAGCTTAGCCACGAAGTCGGCTCGCTCCTGAACTAGCGACTCTTCATTTTATAGATCTATGCAGAATCTTCTTACAACGCGAAGACTGCCATTGTGCGGGAGTTCCTGAAGAAGGGGAAATCCGGCGTGAAATTTGAGGGGGACACTTACCTGTGGGTCAAGTTCCTCCTCCCCATGGTCAACAAACGCATCTACAATCTTCAGAGCAAACAGCTCTGCAAGCTTTTCGCTCGGTATTTCATTTTTTTGCCATTGATTCCCATCCCGAGGATTTCTTGCCCGAGTCCTGACCCAGACTGGATCACCAAGCCCCACCGGAATTCGATCGCGATAATTCGGTATTTCTTCAAGAATCTTCGGAGGAGATATCCTCGATGCGATGATTGAGCACCTTGAGGCTGGAGATGTCGCCGAGACCATCGCGAACTTCCACGAGACTTCGAAAAAATGCCCGCCTCTCAAGAGCGCAGCCCTCAGCCTACAGCAGGTTGACAGGTGGGGTCTCGGCGAAGGATGGAACGATTGACGGATCATCCTCAAGTCAATGAGTGGTCGGAGAGAGACTGGACGTCGATCATGAGCGCGTTGTGGTCACGCCTGATCGACTTTTGTTCATCCCCTTCCTGTCTTAAATTGAGATCCTTTCGAAATCGTCTCCGCAGGTTCCTCGAAGAATTGTCCCCGATGACCCGTGAAGATGATCAAATTGAGATTCTTGAGAAAATCGCGTCGAAATGCACTGCGAACGACCTCAAAATGATAATACGGTTCGTACTGTTGCTCAAACCGATCGATCAAATCGTAGGAACATGTTCGAAGTCTGTAGGGCACCGACCTCGCTGCTCAACCCGGCATATTTTCTCCGTGTAGTCTGATCAAGCACGACATCAGAATCAATGCGGGTCCGAAGCATATACTGGAGGCCCTGAATCCCGCAGCCTACGAAGCATTCCAAGCATCTCTAGACCTCCAAGAAGTGGTTCGAAAGAGTCTTGCTGAAGGCGAGTTGAGCTCACGTCGTATCGTACCTACCATCTTGCGTCCCTGTTCATGATCCTTATGAGCTGTATCCGAATTCGCGTCAGATATTTATCGAGCTCTTGTTCCTACTAGATTTCGGTACTGATGTTCTGGATGTTGGAATCAAGGTTTGCACCCCGGTCCGACCCATGCTCGCGGAGCCGTGTCGGTCGGTAGACTTCGCCTTCAAAAGATGTCCGAAGGTAAGACCGCCTTGGGAAGTCCTCGAGTGAGCCTTAGTGGGGGTTGATCGATATTACTCCTGTTGTCATTCTCCCTTACCATTGGAGAATCACTTGATTCCACAGGGGATGTTCACCGAAGTCAAATACGACGGCGAGCGCGTACAACTCCATAAGCAAGGGGACAAGTTCCTGTATTTTTCACGGAGTTTGAAACCCGTAGTCGATCACAAGGTGAGTCGCTGTAGCCAAGTCGCACCCCATCGATGCCCTGCGACTGTGAAGGTGTACAAGACAGTATTGTGTAAGAGCTCTGAGAAATTTCATTAGGTTGAGGAAACTTGGTGGTTGCAGGTCAAACATTTCAAGCAGTATATCCCGAAGGCTTTCACGCAAGGTGATTCCTTGATCATAGACGGAGAAATACTCCTTGTGAACACGAAAACGAATGAAATCCTACCCTTCGGTGAGAGATTCCGGTCGATTAGCGAGTCGTACTGTCCTTAACGCATATGACCTAGCAGCTCTTCGACGCGAAGTCTTCTTCAAGCTTTTTTCGCCCCCAGGTACTTTGGGAAAACACAAGAAAGCGCAGTTCGAAGAAGCATCGGTGTGCCTGTTCGTCTTCGATTGCCTCTTGTACAATGGGAAGAGTCTTTTGGACGTCCCGCTCTGCGAACGTCGCGAGGTGAGAATTTTGCGGATCACTCTCATGATTTTATCATCATGCGGCTTGCGAGCTCGTTCCGAGAGAATTCATGTTCAGAAGCTTCACAGATTCTCCGGAAAAATATGAGAGAGATCAAGCACCACGTTATGCTGTCCGATATGGAAATCGTCAAGAGTCCCAGCAGACTAAAGACAAAAATCGAAGACGCAATCAACACAGGTCTGGAAGGTTTAGTTCTCAAGGATCCTCAGAGCAAATACGAACCAGGTGAGAATGCCATCGGTGAAGATAAATTTCCCCTCCTCCCGGGGATCTTCTTAGACGATGAGGACTCGGGTGATCACGTGATCAACCTATGCTTCTTCCCGAGCTTCCAGGAAAACGCCATTGGATGAAAGTCAAGAAAGACTACCTGCAAGACGGTGCCATGGCAGACTCCGCAGATCTCGTCGTTGTGGGCGCCTACTTCGGGACGGGGAAGAAGGGTGGGAAGATGTCAATTTTCCTCATGGGTTGTTTGAACGAGAAGACCAAGAGGTTAGATTCCGTATCAATCAGGATTGAGCTCGAGAACAATCGCGGACGACATCAATTCAATTCGGAAATGTGCGGAAATCGGATTAATTCATGTGACACATCCCATCCAGATGGGTAACCGTGACCAAAGTTCACACTGGACACGACGATCAAACTCTTGAGAATCTTCAGAGAGAACTGAAGATGAAGAAGATTTCCAAGAACTGGGAACTAGTCCCAGACTGGCTCGATGTGAAATCGCAGCTTACGCCGGATTTCGTAGCTATTGATCCATTCGAGAGTCAGGTCTGGGAGATCACGGGGGCCGAGTTCAGCAAGGCCGAAGGTCATACCGCGAACGGAATCTCAATACGGTGAGCTTTCAGTCGCGAATATTGGTGAGCTCATCGTCGATGTTCTGGCGTGTTCTCACCGGTCACGTCCGATTCCAGATTTCCCCGAGTGACAAGGATTCGGGACGACAAACTTCCCAAAGACGCGACAACTCTGGCAGAGCTAGAGAACCTGTTCAAAACGTCGAAAGAGCAAGTCCTGGAGCTCGACGAAGATGTAGGAGACCGAGGCACGGGAGGAGATAGCGATGCCGAACCGGAAGATCGCGGCCTTTGCGAGATCGACGATGAAGGGAATTGCGAGGACGAAGTGGATGAAAAACCTCCTGCTCCGAGCGAAAAAAGAAAACGGAAAGTCTCACCCATAGATATACTCAGTGACGTGGAATCCGACTCGTCTGACATCGTCGCTCAGTCAACTTCCTCGCGGAAGAAAATCAAGACCGAAACGGATCTCTTCGAATCTCAGAAATACGAGCCCAAGCCCACTAAGGGACGGGGTAGGCTCCCCCCGTGTAATTTGCCGGATGTTTTCACTGGTGTCGTCATAGAGGGACTTCCTGGCGAGCCATACAAATACGGAAATCTACGGAGGTATTTCATAGCATATGGAGGCACATTCAGCGAATCCGGAATCACACATCGGATTGGCACGACGAAGAATACCACCAAAGTCGAGTGGCTTTTAGAATCTGTGAAGCGAAGGCGATTACTCGACGAAGAACCTTTCAGAAATTAAAGCTTTCATGTTTTGAATTTGTGTTCGGGCCCTCTTCTATGTCAGAGAGCTTCGCCAGTAGACTCGTGTGCTGAGCTTGTCAAGCGCTTTCCTTGTATCTGGGCGGAATTTTCATTGGTCTCATCGAGTTTACAGCCTTGTCGAGTCGAGAGATTGCAGCTCATTGGTCTCGAGGAAAATTCCGAACCGGAATGACGTCATTCATATCTAAGGGCTTCTTTCTCGATGCTTGGAGAAGGACATCCGCCGAGACGGTCCACGGCCTAGCGGTGCGAATGGGGTGCTGGGACTGAACGCTTCCTTCTCGATTCGTCAAAGGAAACCATCGGGAGTAGATCCTAACGTCCGACGAGCGCACACTGTACTGTGATCCTGGTATACCTTTATTCAGCTCGTTCCTCCAGCATAATAAACTGCACGGGACCTTCGGCTCTCGAGTTCACGTCACCCAGAGGGGAAAGGAACGTCGGAGTCGAATTTCGGAGGAGAACGTGTCTCGGTGCGGGGAAACGATGAGCATCGATTTCGGAAGTAATCGCGTATCGAACCGGGTTTCCCCGAGAACTCAATCATTCTCTCCACATCAGAGAGCTGTGTTCCGACCTAAGACAGAGCGCGAACAGTTTCTGGAGCCATAAAAACTGAGCTGCGGCCTCAAGTCGTATAATTTTTTTAGAAACGAGGCACAAGTTTCGGTTCAAATGGAAGCGAACTCCTTGAGCACTCAAACAGCGCTCATGGCTCGCAAAAGGCAAGAACGAAAAAGAAAGAAACGTTTCGGGGTTGGTGTGCTCTTTCAGAAGAAGAGGTGGGGGAGTAAAGAGAGCGCCATTAAGAGAGAAAAGCATTCATCATAAAACATCTTCCCAGACAGCTCGGTGCGGGATGCGACCCTCGACCGGCTGATGCGGAGCTCAAGGAGAAATTGATTCACCCAAGCCCGCTCTTTCAAATCCGAAGTATTCGCGATGTGAAAGTCGCTGCCGATTCTTTGGTCGCTCGGGAACACCGCGAAGAACTCGAGTCGAAAGGGCAATAGCGCTTCAATTGCATAGGAGGGTCGAGGCGGAGGAGGGGGTTGGAGGTTAAAGTGGGAATAAATGCATTTTTTTCCCTTTTACTCCTTTGCTGCCATATCTCGTTGTCGGCGGCCACGGAGTCCGCCGAGTTCTCACTGATCCTGCAGGCCTCTCACTTGGCTGCTTCCTGAGTGCTTCACTTACACAGAAGAACAGAATTCATTCAACCAATCCGTCGGCCGACAGCATACCCACGAAGTGATGTCCTGCTTCCATGTCAAGACGATGTTCTCAGAGGAATCGACGCTTGCCGATAGCTATTTTTCCTCCATGCTCAACTACAAGGCCCCGGATCAAGGACGAAAGTGACCAGGGGAAAAATAAAATCTTGCAAGTCTCCGCAGCTGAATTCAATCTATTGCGAAGCATCATCGAGTGTAGAACAAGCGAATTGCCAGACGAGCCCTGGTGCGAGCGATGTTGTATGTAGTGAGCGAGCGAACCCACCACTGAGCCGCAGAGTTATCGGGCATTCCCCTCGAATCTCGGCGAACGCTATGAGCAATCAGCTCCTTCTTGGTCCTCCCTGTGAACAAGCGAGCCGACCACAATGTCCGACAGGGATAAAATGACCGTTGCTTTGGCCGAGAAGGACAAGTAGGAGGTGGAGAATCAGCGGGAGGAACGCTGGCGAGGGATCAGAGAGCGCTAGGAGAACGGAGGCAAGAGAAACACTCAAGCTGATTTCATTTGGTTGAGGCCTGGTTGAACACTCTTTTGGTGGACTGACTCGGTTCGCTCATGCCTGGACGATGTCGCCCTTCGCTCGTTTGATAATAATGATCACTCACGAGCGAACGGGCATTCAAATAGCAGAACGACGATCCAAAGAGAGCGGGTGGACCGCTCTCCGAAGAGCTCCTCGCGGGTCTGTAGCGGCGCGCTACACTTGATTAAAGTTGGAGGAGAACGCGACAGCTATCACAATTGATCCGATCATCGGGTCCGATCATCCGTCTGACCATCCACCCCGACAATCAGACTGCGCTACCAACTAAAGGCTTCTCTGGATCGGTGTATGTCGCGGTCGTTTTCGATTCTTGCTGACGACTTCATTTGATGAGCTCTTGCAATCTGGCTTCTGAGGCAGAAACAAAGTTTGTGAGCGACAGTCCGATTGAGACCATATGCTGAAGAGTCGAGAAGTTGTTCCGCGATCGATTGATCGGGGTTAGTGACTGTTTTTCGCGCTTACCGACCGCCAAGATCGATCCGCGATGAGCTTCTGACGCTGTTTGCCGGAGACGTCCGCTTGTGGTTCAGCACCAGAATTCCAGGACTTCGGTCACGACTCCTGACAGATCGTCTGATGGTGAAGCTCGTTGTCGAGTCACTCACCAAACGTCCTATGGACATTCTCCCTGAATCGAGAGCCTCCCGCTCTCCAAGAATCGAGTATCAGACTGATTTTCCGGAAAATTCCGAGGATTCCCCTCCGGAAGAACTCGGGACATCTGGGTAGAGTGAATCACGTGAGCGTTTTCCCATTCCGTCCACTGGCGGGGCGACAAATTTCTCTCGAGATGACAGGTGATCGTATGACCTGAGCTCGATTGGTCGGAGATCCGTCCGGGAATCGCTCTGTGCTCTTTTGTATTGATATTCAGAATCTGCTCGGCTCATGAGTCGTGACAAATCACTCTGTTAACCAGGCCTGGGCACTGACATCGTAGCGACACAGGTCGCGGATGCAGTTGATAGCAGGCAAGCGATCGCTTACCCAGATCAAGCGGCCGTCGGAGGAGCTTATTCTTGAGGGAAGAAGAGGTGCACCACCATCATCATCATCCCGATCGCGATCTCCGCGGTTGTTGTCACCGTAATGACCGAGAGAAAAAAGATGGAAAAAGTCTTTCGATCTTTTGTTGGTTCCTCGCGTCACCGACGGCTCGTGCCGCCCCTTGGCAAGCTGCGCACCCTTCTCGGAGGGAGACGTGTACTTTGAATTGCCAAACGAGCTTTTAAGCGCGGACACAGCTGGTCGGAGATTAGCGCTGAAGCCAGCCAACAATCTAGCAAGCCTGCCGCCCAGCCACCCAGCCAGCAGGCGAGTCAGTCAGTCAGTCAGCGATTCGGCGAGCAATCCAGTCGCAAGCTCCGCCGCCACCCTGGTGCCGTGGAGCCAGCGCTTCCACAACTGCTCCGGCGATATGATGAGGGAGAAGGACAGCCCGGACCGCCGAAAGGCCGGCCGGCCAGCCAGCACGCCACCCCAACAGTGGGCCAGACTCCCCACCGGGAAAAACTCGTTTAGCCATCCATCCCTTCTCGGCTCGCCCCCGATCCATTCCCGAGTTGCCTCCCTGTCCCCGCTCCTCTGCCTTCTCCCTGCCGCACACCGCTAGATCCAGCAAACAGTCTCTCCCCAATCCAGCAAACAGTTCCATCGAAGGGCCGTGAATGTCTGCGTTCGCTGGTAGCGGCCCTCAAGCTAGCCTCCCCGCCCCCAGCTCCGAGACCCGCGGAAGTCCTGATCGTCGGTGATCTTCATGGTCAGACGTTCCGTTTTCCTTAGTAGTGAGGCCCTCACTGGACATTCGAGCCGTCCTGGCCACCCAGATCCGAGTCGATGTCTCCATCGTCGAACCCGGTCCAGACTTTTGGACCGGCAGTAGCGCTCGAGAGCGCGGCGATGACCAAGTACCTGTTGGGTACTCTATTGAGTCCCGATAAGAGATTGGAGAGTTGTGAGAAGCGTCCACGGCGACACCGACGCGGACACGTTTTCGTACCGTCAAAAGTCAAGTCTCATCTCAATCTCCGTCTTTCGTCGAGACAACGAATCATAACAGCCATAAACTCGCCGTCAGAATATCATTCGTCATATCGTTGGTGACGTTTTGAATTCCAGGATAGCCCGCTGCCGCATCACAGATACAGGACCTTGTTGTTGAGAGCACTCCAGCGTGAGGGAATGCAGTACCGGTAGCCACCGATGTTTCCAATCCGATCGTGAGAGTGATTGGCTACGTCCGATCTTTGTCGCGATATCGTAACTTATTCGGGTAGATTTGGTCTTGTTCTCCGATGTATGTATCCGTGCTTGTATGCGCTCCCTCGTCGAGTGTGCTCGCCGAGCCATGAGGACCCAACTCATTTCTTAATAGAGGCTCGTCGTCGTTGACGAGCAGCAATCATGATTCAGCCTTGCACAGAGAGAGTGGAGGCAATGGCGTTTGTGGCAGCAGCCGGGGGCCAATAAGAGTCGATAGCGGTATTGCGATCATATGAGCAAGCGAAGTAACGAACCAGTCGGCTTATTCATGAAAAGTACTATTTTTTCCGCTGCGAACGGCGGACAGCGATTAGATACGATCGCCGCTGTTGCTAGCACCCCTTCAGGGGGAAGAGAAAGGAGATGGCTAATCGTCTGGCCAGATGACCCGAGAATCAGCATCAACCATTATGCGATAGTATTCGGCAAGAATTGTATCGATTCATTTGAGTCCGTCGGCTCTCTTGCGCGCCGCCTCGGGCAACCGCTCGGGGCTTTTGTTCTACGCAGCTACTTGACTAAGGCAGGGAGGGAAAGGCACGGCGAGGCTCGCATATGAGCCTTCGTCGGTAAAGAGCAACATGTGTAGGTATCTCAGTCTCGAATAACAGCTGGCGAAAGAGAACAATGAGAACCAGGGTCCGCTCCGAGTATGCGTAAGGTGGAGTTGAAAATAATCATCGCCCATGGAAACTGCGAAGTCGTAGCTCCTCAGTACTCCTCAGTACTCCTCGAACGAATTCGGGAGAGAGACCGGCAAACCTCGGTGAGGATTCAGCCGCCTCGTTGTATAGGTACAGTGATCATCGTGGATAGAGAGACCCGCTGGTCAGGCTTTTGGCATTGAAGATTTATTCGAATAGTTGAGTTGATTGACTTAATAATACACAGGTGCGGGGATTCCCCAGCCGTAAAACCGTTTTTCACGTGTCTAGAGATCACTGCTCACAGATGAGATGGTTTCTCCCGTCAGCGTGCCGTTTCCAGAGTGCTTGGACACCTTCGGGCATCGCGGCCATCCTGGCGTCGAGCTCTTCGACCATCTGAGTTGTGAGATGGTTTTTCCAGTCTCCTACTTCTCCTTTTCTGGCGAACGCAACCGGCGGAGGAGGAAGGAATTTTCCGTCCTTTGTGTAAGCTTCGAGCAATCGCTTGTTTGCGGTACTCGTCGCTGAGACCGAGTCGTATTTCGTGGTGCAGTTGGCCCGAACTTTTCGGATGTCGCTCTCGTCGATTATTTCAGCCACTGCGGGAGAAATAGATTTCTATCATGGTGATGCTTCATGAAGCCGGGAGATATCGAATAGCTAGCCCAAGAGATAGAAAGCCGAAGACGATAGAGATGCTTCGCAGTACATACCCCTCTGGTCGGTCAGCGGGACGTCGAGGAACGAGGCGATCTTCTTGACGGCCGCAGACTTGTCTTGATGAATTCCTTCGTACGTCAAGAGCAGGGTGTTTTGAGGGGATCGTATACTCAACCAGTAGTAATCCAACAGAGCTCTGAAGTAGCAACCGTACTCGATGCGACCGGCAATGAACTCGTCGTAGAAATGTTCGATCGTGCCGTCACTGTAATCGTAGAGCTCGATGTTTTTCGTGTGGTGGAACAAGGACACCAAGACGTCCTTCGGATCTCGGACAACCATCACGTATCGAGCCTTGGAGTTCCAGGGAAGAAGCGCTACCGGCAAGTGCGATTGGATGACGTTCCGGAGGCCGACTCCTCGGTGGCATTCGTTCACGGCGGCGGGACCGTACATTTCGAGGTAGTTCGGGGGAACTTTGGCGTTGGCTCCCTGGAGGATATGGTTGACAATGGTTGAGGCCCAATGCGTTCCCGATTTCTGGTAGGTGACGATGAAGATGTCATCATCTCTGGGCTGGTATGCGATAGCTTCTTTGAAAGGTTTCTCGAGCACACCTGGAGGAACCCGACATCCCTCGTGAATTCGGTGGAAAGGTCGCATTGTGTTTCGGCCTGTCTGCGTGCGATGGCCTCCTTCTGGTCACAAGCGGTTTTATAGCGACTGACGACGATTAGAGGATGAGGAGAGGACCGCCAATGGAGCTACACTTCGCAGCATAAAGATAAGGTGTAAGACAACTTTTCCCTCGGAAATCAGTTGATCGCTAGGAATTCCTCCGCCGGAGAGCACCTGTCGCCCGATTACACTTCGATAAGGATAGATGCGAGGAAATTCGTGATTGACAGGAGTCCTCCTCTCGCGGGCTGCACCTAACCCCGGCTCGCTCACTCTCAAGCCTGATATCGATTCCGATCTTGCTCCCCCGTATCTGTATTCGGAGATAGTAGCCAACACTGGATACGTGGGACGCTGATTCTCCAGACCCTCGCATCATCGTAATCATCATCATCATCGGTGACTCTGATCCCCCGCGATGGAACCTGAAACTAATTTCCGATCGAGAACCGGATACCTTATTCGATCACTCAACATTACAGGAACTGAATCGAGGGACTAAGGTCGATGGTAAATGGAGGTATACATCCTTTATGGGGAACTCGGCCCAACGTCCGAGATCTGGCCTTGAGGTGACGAGAGTATTCGCTCATCGTGGCGTGGAAGCTGAAGGAATCTATGCACCCAGCTATTCTACCCGACATGCTTCGCGAGATTCGGAAGATATCGGAGCTTGTTCTGCGATGGAATTGCCGATAGTAAAGCTCACCCGTCTCGTAGGCCAGACTTCGATCGCTGTAAAACTGCAACTTGAGGACCCGTCTTGCTTGTAAAGCATCCCGTAGGTACATTCATTAGTGAGATATCGAATTACACCTCGGCGACTTCAGGTAATGAAGCAAGGCGGCGAGCGAACGCAGGGCCGCCCCCTTAATGTTCACCAGATCATCTCCGTAATGAGGAACTTCTAGATTATCGGGACAGTTCCCTTGCGGAAAATAGGAACGGTCACGAAATAATCCCTACACCCTCACGAAGGAATCCAGCCCTCGACTCTTGAAAGGTCGTGTCGTGACTCGTGACTCCGACGGTGTGCTGAGGTCACCTTGCTCCCATCGTCAGGCATTCGGCCTTCGGGCATCGATCGCTCAGTGATGTCACAGCCGGATGTCCCGATCGATTTGTCTAGGTCTGGGAGATAGTCTGATTTGGATTGAATGGTCGAAGTTTGGTTTACCCGATTTCAGTATGCAAACATTTATTTACAATACACACGTGATTGGTTACAGTTCCCTCTTTTTTCTAATATATTTATTGCACACTGAACGATTCGATCAGTCGAAAGGAAATCATAGCTTCTCCGCCTAACGAATGAACCATTCTGAATGCCGAAACTCCCAATTCAGAAAGACATAGGACAAGAATTCGAACTAAGCACTTCTTGATAGTCGGAAAGGACACCAGATGAGCCAGAAAAATGACCGTTTCCGTCAAGCTTTTCAACGACCGAGAAAATTACGCTTATCTCCCCCCCCCCGACCCGATCGAAGTCGCATTGTTGTCCCTCGGGTTACGATATCGTATTGAGAATCATGTCTAGCCGATGTTTTGATATTGACTCCTCGACCATTCCTAATAAAGATTCACAAAACGTTCCAGAATGTCGGCGGACGCTCCTCCGCATCGGAGAGAATCACCTTGTGAGTTAGCTTCTCGTGGATCTTCTGTTTTCTCCCTCTGTTTTGCGATCCCGATTCTTTTTACATTTGGGCTATACAGGCGGAAGCGGAGAACGCCGAGTCTCAAATATTCTTGCGTCGACCCTCCATATTGCTAATATTCCTCATCCGGTCAAACGTCACGATGATCGATTGCGCTGCTCCCGGTCTTACGAATTTTCTTCATTGAAATATATTTGACTAGATCAATGTGTATCATCTTTCCACCCGTTTACGGTCATTGTACACTAACTAAGCATGATAATGATTCCCGCAGTAGATGACTAGATTCAAGATCAATGTACAATCAGACATACATTTAGCCTTCGATATCTAGACGTATGAATCCGCGGAGCCGGTTAAGCGAAGGCGAATTTGCTGTGACTTTGCTCTTCAGAACCGACTTCCTGAGATATTTCGAGGATACGGAGTGCGAAATTCCACAAAGAAACGAATCGTGAATCTCATGAAGAATCTTGGTCACCTACAAACTGCAAAAATCCGTGGGCATTCGACGCTCCGGTTACAGGAGTGGCTGAACCTGGAGTTGGTCTGGAATGCTGCTTGACGGTGGCCATCTCGGCAGCATGCTTCTTTCTCCATTTTGTACGACGGTTTTGAAACCACACCTGGAACGGAAGCTTTCTATGAGTATCGAACCGGGTTTCCCTGAGAACTCAATCATTCCCTCCACATCAGAGAGCTGTGTTTCGACCGAAGACAGAGCGCGAACAGTTTCTATGAGCAATCACTATGACTCCCATTCTGCCTCACGAGACACACGGAATGCGCATTCGGCATCGCTCATCGTCGTTCAACGTTTTCATCACTGGAAGACCACTCCCGCAACAAGGAAAGGGGAGCGTGCCAGCGAGGTCACCGATCGGAATCAGAACCTGAATTCGCATTCATGAGCTTGAATGGCCGTCAGCTCAATTCCGATCCCGATACTGGTAATACAGGGAGCGCTGTAGGATGCGGGCTCGACACAAGGGGGAGTCAGGACGGAGTGAACTTCCCGAAGAAAACCGCATGTCTTCTCCACAGCGAGGCGCGCTACCACTGCTGGAGCGTTCTTCGGTGGAATACTTGGTAGCTTCAGAGCTTTACCGCTATTACCGAACTCTCGCTCTGACTCGCTAGCTGGAATTCTGTCGTCATTCGAGCGAGCTCGAGCACAAAAAATAAGCGCCAAGAGTCAGGATGTGAATTCGGGAGAGAAAGGCTCTTGAGGCACGTGGTGGATTGGGAATGGAATTTTCCGTCTCCGCGCACATGATTTTTGTTTAATTTCCCACATCCGAATCCCCGATTCCCGCTCCTGGGAGTATTGTCGCTTCTTCTTTTCCTTGGCGAGCCGGCCGTTGGCGGTAGGGACAATTGTCCGGTACCAATTCGATGGGCATTCTCTCGAGTTCGAACGCTGCCGCTTGCCAGCCATCGCTATCAGTTGTAATCAAATTAATGGAGGCACTAATCTGATTACATTTGATTCTCTCCGCGCGTATCTGCTTGTGTATGAATCATCCATCGGACAATGTATCTATCTGTTGACTCCACTTAGCATTTTCTTCTCTCGATGAATATAGCGGAAGACAGCCCCATTCTTCAATCTCTCCTCGCGGCGCTTCCTAAATCTCTAGCTGATGTGTACAAACTGCGGAGGATCCCGCAGAGTGGCGAGACCATCGGCCGACCGACCGGCAGACTCACCGATTCGATATTTTCCGAGCTCAACGCAGACCCCGAGTTTCAACGTTCTGCAAGAATGACACCCCTCGTGTTCAGATTTAATGTGTCACCTTTTCATGAAGGTGTTTCATCTTCGTTCGTCTGTTCTGAATCCTCTTCCTATCGCTCGCTTTCTCTCTCTTCTCCGTCTTTTGTTGGCTAAGCCGTGCTATTAGCATGACCGTGATTGGCTCTATCCGGAGCATCTCTGGTGGGCAACGGTGGGCGTCCTATGGAACGCGGGTGGGGAATTGGTTGCTCGCTCGCCCGCTATTTAGCGAGACACGTGTCCTCGTTCGTGGCTGGCTGACTGACTCGCCCGCTTCCTCTGTCGGCTTCCCGATCAGGATACCTCTGAGGGTGCCTTTTTAGGCTCTTCTTCAGCTTTCCTCGCCTCGGAATCGTATGTTGGGAGGCGGGAGTGGAGAGAGCGAGAGCCAGGATTGCTACGATTAGGAGGACGAGATAGAGCCACACGTGAGTCTCTACCACCTGCTTTCTTTTTTCGCCTAAGCTCATGTGGCTTCAGGTTGTCACAGAGTGTGGGCGAGAGAGTGAGAGCGCGCGCTCGTGCGAGAAGTGTCATGGAGTGTGTCCCTCACACAATCACCGGGAGTCAAGTTGTTGCGCCCCGAGTTCAAGATCGTTTCGTAAAGCGATGCTCAACCATTGCGGAACAGTAAGGTCTGAATGGTCACTACCAACGTTTGGCGAGCCGCATACCCGTCCAGTGATTGGGAATGCCTATCGAATAATTATTATCGACGACGCTCGACTTCCGTCAGGTTTTCCGAGCAGGGAATTCGAGGCAATTTAGATCTCTCGCAGACTGATCATGAGAAAGTGCGAGTTGCCCAGAGTTTGCGGAAAAACGCGGCTCCCGTCCTAGGCCGTGAGCAATGACGATCCGTTGTCATCGAGATGTTTGCGCCAAGACAGCAGATCGATGAACAACGCGAAGCACTACACGGAAATGTGGCTAGGTCCGCTGCCGACCCGGTCGACCGACCGATTGTCCCATCGGCTACTGTAAAGACAGCAGATAGACGCCGAGGTCGACTTGAGTAGATAACGAGTTGCAGTCTGACGGATAAGCGTCACCAAGGAAGATCCCCTCGGACATCGCCGTGAAAAAAGCGTCGAATAATTAGGGTTTGAGGGTGAAATGTTTACCGTTGATCGCCCCAACATTCCCCAGAAATATCTATTTCTAGATGCATGCGGGAGCTTGAATCGCCGCGGTACGACAGCGCTCCTGCGGATCGTTTCTGATCATCGGTCAGCGAACATTGGAACTTGGAACAGTTCAAGCCTACCGGAGAATTGCTTCGAGAGAAGGAGACGGCTGTCTTACGGGAAGTGAGACGCTCGGATGGATGATTAAATGCCCCTTATCGCCACGGCCATAAACATCATAATTGCTCTTCCAAACGTCGAAGAAAATCACAATCTCCGAGTCGGCCTCAAGCTCCGAATTGATATTGAGTCTACACACAGACTGTAAAAATCTCGGGGGAATCCGAAAACCTAATGTCAACCAGATACACATCCTTGAATCCTATTGATTCCGACAAGTAAGGGCCGTCCAGAGGAGATCCCTTGACTGTCGGGAATATGTATCGGTAAGCAAACCCGAATTTCGAATCACCGCCTTAGCCGCGTAACCATCGTTGGGACCATGAGACTCAGGGGCGAAGCCTCGTCATAAGACTTTCATTATTATTGATTCGAAGCATAGAGGTACTGCATCCTGGAGTGTTTCCCTCGGAGGGACGCGACACTATGAGGGAGCATCATTCTCTTGTTCGACATTTGAGCGAACACCCGGGACCTCCGAAACAATCCTATCCTACGCAGCCAGTCCCGCAGAAAACTCCTCGCACTCGGCGCTCCCAATCGACTCGCAGGACTCTGACCGCAACAGAAACCAGACCCCGTTGCTACACCGGTCGATGACTTTCCGAGATTTCCGCAGCTCTGCTCGAAAATTCCACGATGAAGCCTGCTAAAGGCTCGACGACACAGCCGAAGGATCGCAGCTCTCGTCGACGGGGCACTTCTGCATTCGTAAACTTTTTCCACGGACAGGCTCGCTAAAGCCCACGATGCATCTGATCGGCACGGAGAAATTTCCGATGATCTGGATATGCCTCACGAGTGCATCGCGTATGGTCTCATGCCCTAGGAGCGAAGGACTCCTTGATTCATATCATCGGAATAATTTGACCCGGAGAGAAGCTCCCTCAAAACTCATAGGGGAACTGTCTTGTAGAAACGGAATGCTCTCCGAGTCTCACCCTCCCTGAGTCCTACCGTTCACTTCTCAGTCTGTTCGACATCATAGCCTTACATGTCGAGAAGCTGACCCGAGGGCGGGACATATCGACTATCTGCTGCTCCGGAAAAACTCGTGAGCAATCTACGTCTTGGTGCGGACGCCACCCGATATTCTCGTTTTCCCCCTCAAGCCCACCACATCACCCACACCCCGCAGTGGCTGACTCTTTTGCGTGGGCCATCAAAGTGTCAGGTCTCATTTTCCGGGACGATCACTTCGTCGCTAAACGACAACATCAGCCTCGACCGGTAGAACCACGGAGCGACGACTTACGAGGACCGCGATAGGCAACCATGAAGAGGAAGGGCAACACCAAGAGCGAGGGACAGACACACACGAAGGAGGAGTCAACTCCACCAGCGGCTGTGAGATCGGTGGCGGCGGCATCGCCAGGATATCAGGTCCTACGACGACCAGGAGAACGGGGAGGGGCGGCTCAATTTACGTTGATTGTTACACCGCTTGTTCGAACGGGGTATCTGGCCAGGGCGGACAAGCCGGGAATAAGTCGCCGCGGCCGGCCGAAATAAAGGCGGCAAGGGTCTACGGGCGACGACGAGGGTAGCAGGAGACAGGGTAGCAGCTATTAGGTAGTGGCCGTTTCGAGGGACGAAACAAACTCGTCCGACGGGAGAGGCTGGGCCTGCACAGAGTCAGTTCCGGAGCGAGAACGGGGACCGACCGACGGAGCGGGGCGATTGAGCGCTGGGTCATTATGCCGTCCGCCTTCCAGATTGTCCAACCTATGTTAACGTCGAGCACGCAGACTCGAGGAGGAAATATCAAATTCAACTTATTGTCGGCCAGCAAACGACGATAAGAAACGACGAGGAACTCTCTGATTAAACATCACCAATGACCTAAGGGCCGCGTCTGAGTGTTCTCTCCGGCTTAGGATTTTTCGAGCGACACGCGATTACTCCGTGTGACCCGCTTCGAATTCGACCCGCTGAACAGAAAATTCAGTGACCGAATTCAAGGCGTCTTTCCGGACCAACTATGAATATCGAGACTGTGACCAGTTGTTCATTTGGCGAGGGACGACGCTCTTGAATTAATTATTAGATTTGGCGAGAGAGGGGGATACTTGCTTGTGGCAACTCGCATCGTCGCTGTTTGGCGACACACTAGCGAAACCCCGGCATTTATTCATTTCGCAGAGGTTAATTACTCGCGTTTAATTGAATTCGATCCGCTCACCTCCCATATGATGTAATAACGAACTCATCGAGGATACCGGCTCCATCCCTGTCATCATGATTGCAGTAGCCGTCGTCGTCGTCGATGCTCCCGCCCGACAACAGTGTGGCTCGGCGACTTCTGCGTCGTCGTCGTCGTCGCTGCTGCCGCCGACAGCGACGACGACAAGCTCGAGCAGAGCGCAGCAGCGAAGCTCTGGAGGAGCTAAATTGAGTGTGAACAACTTTAGTGTTTCCCTGCCCCGCGCGTCTCCCCACTTGATGTATGGTATGATCTTATTAGGAGGTGATAAATACATTCACCCTCCTCCATCGTCGTCGTCGTTCACTCGCTCCCGAGCTGCTTTGATGGCTGAATGGCTGGCCTGCGTTGGCGCAGTCGCTCGTTGGCTGACTGACTTACCCGCTGCTGGCCGCTCACAAGTCTGAAGAGCGGGCCAAAACGCTCTGGATATGAAATTGTTTCGAGGGCTCCAACGAGGAAGCCAACTCCATGAAAAAAAAAATACGCGCACCCGATGAAAAAGCGCATCACAAGAGTCGTACAGCAACGGTAGCAAGTCAGGAAACAGCATCCCCGACAACGTCAAAATACAACCAGTGAAACATGGATGGGGGTCCTTGGAGACGCGGGCCGCATTTCGTTCTTCATGTAAACGAACGATCGGTACAAGCTACGAGATCGAGCTGTCAGCCAAGACCGACCGTCGACCACTGTGGGAGATTGGCATGGACATCAGCGATTGAGCCCGCTGGGAATATCTCAGATACGCAATCATACCATAACAGAATACTCCTTCGACGTCGAGCGGCTGATTCGGTAAACAAGAGCGCATTGTTCGAGTTGGGGTTCGCGTCCTTCTATGCCGATCAGATGGGCAGATTCTGGAAAACTCTATTGATTGCCGTCGACGAGCTCAAAACCAATCAGTTATCAAATGTGTATGCACATGCCCCTGAAGACTTGTAGGGTTGCACCAGGCTGCCTTATACGTTGTTGTAATAACACACTACCCACACCTCAGAAGAAATGTGCCGGCATCATTCGCTTGGTTTCGCAGTTTATCCGCCTCATCAAGCCCGACAAGAAATATCGACCACACAGCATGAATATCCCGAGCGAGAAAGCCGAATCAACATCGAACACGGGGGGACCGAGGAGGACGTGGGTGCGAAACTTGGGTCTAAATTAAAAACCTGCTGCACTTGTTTCCCCCCGTCTCGCAAAATGGCGATCTGAAACTCGAGTCACGGGAGCGCGGGATCCGTTCGACGATAATTTTCCGAAGCATTCAAATCGGTGGATTCAGGCCGGGTCGAAATTCGGGGAAGGGTTGAGGAGGAATTAATCAAGCTGAACGTCGACTAATCATTAGCATCGGTGGACTTCACTCACCTTAACCTGGCTTTCACTCATCCCAAGAGCATAAGCCAATTTAGCCCTCTCTGGTCCTGCGAGGTACTTTGTCTGCTCGAAAGTTTTCTCAAGGACGTAGATCTGGTGGCCGGAGAAGGTTGGTCGCGTGTGTTTTTTCGATGGAGGTCCCCCCATTCCTGGACCACCGCCTAACGTCGGCATCCGAGTAGGCGACGGGGATCCTCCATGACCACCTAATGGCGATGAAACTGAAATCATAAACGAGACAGCGTGACTTCAGACATCGAGATCGCAAGAGAATTCTCTAAGATTGACTATGACATGCACGTTCCGACCGCGTCCTGTTCGAGGCTTCTTCTCTAAGGGAATCCGACCGCACGAGTGAAAGAACCCGACGGAGTTCTCAAGTTTTCATAGAGCTGGAGCCGGACAGCACCGGCACCATCCTCAGAAGGAGCAGCGGCCATCGCTACAAAACAGCACCAACACCGAGAAAATCGGAAACCAGCTGCTGTATGTAGTACGCTTTAGTATGTTGTCGATGCGTTTTCCATAAGAGTCATACAAAACACGGACGACAAACATACTTCCTGGCTATGAAGTTGTCGTCGTCCTGCTTGCAGCGGCAGGGTGGAACGAGCGAGGGTTGACGAAAGAAACGAACAGAGCGAACAGGGAATGAACGAACGAACGAATGGGGACAACGAATCTGGCGCCAGCTTGGACACTCGTAAAGAAGAAGCATGTAGATCGTTGTCGTCGTCGCTGTCGTCTGGCGGCCGCTGCAGCCACCGCCTCTTTAGTAGGTAGAACAAAGTGCCAACAGTGACATTTATGAGAGCCGACCCCCACCGGGAACACCTGAGTCGGTCATTGGGTTTCACCGCCTCGTACATACCATTGGAAGGGAAACCCGAGAAAGGGAGCTGGCTAAACCAATTGATATCCGGGGAACGTTTGAGGAACATTTTCTACGCAACTTCCCTCCATCGGATGCCCTCATGAAGCTCCTCCGAACTTTTGATAACAGGTCGTCCGAAAAAGTAGGAAAATGTTCTGGAGACGCTTTCCGATTGGGGTTGATACATGAGACGTGAGTTTCCGCAGAAGTTTCAATGTTCTACTCCTCTATCCTGAGCTCGCTCCGCGTGTGCGAAGAAGTGCCGAAAACAAGGATGAAGGGAAGCTGGCTGCGAAAGGCTTCCTATTCAGGAAGGCTAAGTAGAAACTTTCTGCTCCGAGCCACTCAGTCAATTTTGAGCTCTCTGTGAACACCGCTATCCATCAGATGGTCGGCTCAGAGAGCTCTGACTCCTCGTCTGACTCTTGGTCTCTGTCCGTATGTCTGTTTTGCGTCGGTTCGTTCGTTCTTTCGTTCATTCATTCGTCCGTTCGTTCGTTTACTCGTTTTAATGAGGCCATAAAGGCACGAAGTCAGGGCGGTAAGCAGGCGCAGTGACAGCTTGTATTTGCTTTATGAATAAGTGTGCTCGCTGCCAATGCAACAGATGGCCCCGTTCATCTGTTTTATCGTTCCATCGAAGGAGACATACGAGGCAAGTTTGCCCAACTCTATGCTCGTGATGTTCAGAATCGTTCACAATCATCTGAATTTTCACCATGAATGATTCCATTCGATGTCAGAGCTGTTCGATCCAAGAAATTCTCAGTGGAGATCTTAATCAAAAACTGCAGTCGCAAATGAGTAGGCTGGGAATCGGGCAAATTCGAAAGTACGAAGCAATAGCCGAAAAGTTGGGATACTGCCTCCGGATCCGCTTTGATGATGTTCACGCTGTCTCGTGCGAATAACCGCTGTGAGCATCCGGAACAACAGCTACAATCGGTACATGATCAGATCCCCCCGAGGAAAAATGAAGTGTCTATTACCCTTGGAAACACCCCTGTTTCCATTCGTGGATCTGGAATCGCGTCTCCGAAGATCCCCAGGTCTACTCAGCGATTCCCGCCTTTGTCGCCATCTGAGCGGACCGAGCCTTTTTCGGCCGTAGCGAATAAGTTCAAATGTCTTTTTCATTGTGAACAAATGACGATCGATCCGAGTTTTGTCGTGGTGGCATGACCGAGTGCTGTGACCACAAAATTGTTTTTGGGAACAGTATGTACATGTTATTGCTTCAGTGCGGGCTGGCCGCTTCCTCGCTCGCTCGGTCTCCGGCTCCTTGTAGACTCGGCTGCAACGAAAGTCATATGTGGATGTGGGCGGCCAGTTGCACTCTCGTTTGATGTTTTAGCATCGCCAGCTGCAAGTGACAATGACAGAGGTATCGCGTATCTACCTGCACCGCTCGGATCCTTGTCATATGTATGTAGATGATCAGTACCGCATTCAACCAATTTGATGGTTCCACAGTATTCGAAAACGATTCCGATCATTCCTACAAATAAGCTCGGGGACGTTCGATGAGAATTCCCCTCGAGCGGATTGCACTGTCGCAATCCGCGCCAGACTCCATGGAGGCTCTCATGAGCGGTGATTGGCAAGCTCTGTTCGTTCCTCGTTCTCCGATGTTTTACAACTGCTCGTTTGAATAGGTGATGCCTATTTTCCCCATTTTTCGCGGTCTCTAGGCGTTCTCCACAGGATGGAGAGCGGGCGCCCTTTACCTGATGGAGAGCAGTCGCCCTCAAAGCGAGCAGATCGTGGAAATCGATCCTGACAGGGGCACAGTACTTTGAATTGCAGGACCCTCTAGCGAGACTGTGCAAGGCTTTCAACGACGGAAGATGCTTCGAGTATCCGAAGAAGACAAACCTCCAGAATGGACAGACGTCGGGTGCTCTTGAGAGCAGAGAAAGGGAAGAGCGAATGATCCACCGCCTAGGCGACAGGCTAGCGTTATGGAAAAATTCAAATTTGAATAATGACGCTGAATGCAAAACTCGCCGCCGCAGACCGTCGGGCCTAGAGCAGTGCTGTGGTGACGATCATGATGATGATGATGACGGCGGCGGCGAAGACGAGGACGACGACCGAAAAAATCCAAGAGAGGAAAACCGGAAGACACATCTGCTGAATTCATAATAACCCGGTCTCTTCCCCGCTCTGTCTGGCCCTCGTTCTTGAGTCTTGGCCCCGCTCTCCCGTACACGTCCCATCTTGTCACTCTGTATTTGAGAATCGTTCGAAGACGGACATCGGGGCGATGGCGACGCGATCCGAGCTCGCGTAGCTTCCCACAGACGATATCACGACCACCGAACCCTCATCACGTAACTCGATCCTGTGTCTGCGGTGCCCAGCTCAACAAGTTGCGACGAATCAGGGGCAAGATAATTATCGACAGATTTCGGTCGTCATTCTTTGCTGGGCCGAGAGGATTATTCACAGCGGTCGGAATCTCTATAACGCCGGGATCGCGTTTTCCATAAGACCGTCCCAGTCGATGTACCGCTGTGGAACGATTAAAGCCGATCGTTTTCTCGTCAAATTGAAATCTGCGAAAATCCGAAGAGGAATAAGCAGGGAGCTTTTCTCTCCCCGGATTCCGAACTCGTTCAGAATTCGCACAATGGAGGTCCTCCGGAGCCGTGCGTTGATCGTTCAGCCTTTCTGAGCGAAAAAAGTAGCTCTACGAGGAAAGAACAAAGCGAGCGAACGCAAGCCCCGAGTCAGTCCGTCGAGGCGCCGAGCAAAAAAGGAAGCGGGCCCCGCGACGCGAGAAGATTCCGTCTTCAACAAGCCTGGATGTTGCCCCCTCGAACGGTGCCGCTGCAGCTGCTGCAATCAGAGTTTGCCCCACTCGAGTTTCGAGGATGGAGGCAGGAAGGAGGGTAAGGCGGAGCTTGTTGCCGAGCCCCACCCACTCCATAAGATGAGAACACGGCTCGCCCCGGTCGGGACGACGAACTAACGGACGGACACACTGACGGAGGGCTGGGGCGGGCTGGGGAGCGGGCAATGAAGCCAAATAATAGTTTGCCCCCCGTTCCGCTGCGCTGCTACCGTTGCTGATGTTGCTGCTGCCACCGTCGCTGCAGAACATTACGCTTCATATATTGCCGGCCTTCCTCTTGTTCTTTCCTATTCGGTAGTCCTTTCTCTCTCGTTGCTGCTCGGAGAGAGAATAGAGAGGAACAGTGACACAGCAATGAATGTAGTGAGAACAACCCGCCGCCTGCTCCAACAAGCCGGCAACGACTCGGGGCGACCACACAGCCATGAGTTCTCACAACTACCGCCCGATGGATGGATAAATGAATGGATGGTTTGCTTCTTTCCTTCAAGTCATACCATGTCGAGCCAGGGGTCCGGTTCCCATGCCGCCGCCTCGCCGCCCGCAGCCACGATTGATTCAAATGCAGAGAAGCGAGTACGTGACGTATGCCGGCGAATGGCCTCATTCGTATATTGCTTTTCGATAAGGTACCCCAGTCGGAACCTTTCTCTCTTTCATTGTCACGACACATATGTCTCGGCGAGGCGGAGGCTCCAGAGATCGAATCCGTGTGAGATCTATCAGGTACACGCGAAAAGAAAGGAAATAAACTCGCCGATGTAATCGGATTCGGTTCTCGAAAAATTCAGCAATCGCTCCATGGACCGAGTCATTGAGAGTTTCCAGCACCTCCGCTCCCGTGTGAGGAGCGACGTCGGTACTAATTGTAAGCCGACTGTCCGCGTCAATCTATGGTCATGAGCAGCCAGGTGAATTCTCTTACAGAAGGATGCTCACTCTCCGAATGGCTGGGTCTACCTACTCCATCGGTTCTCCATTCTACCTGCCTGCCGTATTTCAGCGGATCCTCTCGGCTAGGACCCCGAGCGAAGTTGACACCGATTGGGCGACTTCCACCGACTCCGAAGCACGTGTGGTCGATAGCTCTGGCTTCATACATCTGAGGGTTTAAGGATAGCCGGGTTCACCTGTTGTAGCGCATTCCTATCGAGTTTGTGTGTCTGGATTGGAAAAGACGGGAATCGCTTGAGATCCTTCTCGGACGCGGAACCAATCAGGACTCTAGACCGACTCCATAGCGGCGATTCGGCGATTGAGTGGAGGCAGGTCCACGCGGACACGGTCTGCGTAAGACGAAGATCTCGAAGGAGACCCGGCTGGTCACTGTGGCACCGCAGGAGACGAAACGAGTTGTCATCGAGGTTCCTTCGAGGGCAACGCTAACCCTCAGGAACGAGATTAAGGTCTTTCCGCCCGTTGAACTAGCGCAATGAAAAGCGAAACATTCCAGAGGATTCCCATCCTAGTATATCAGAGACAAGAAACGATATACGTTACCGCGTTTCAGATGGTTCACACAGAGCTGGTGTTCCAGCATGGACCTGCCCGCGATTCTCCCCAAAGAAGAGAAGCTCTTATCTCGAGGATATACGCAGGGATCGATCTCCAGAATGAATCGTGGAAGCGGAACGACCGGTGAAATTCAAGCGGAAGACAGAGACAGAACCCCAATACGGGGGACCTCGATGGGACTCGAGAGAAACGAAACGTACTCTTCTTGGGATGCGTTTCTCAACAGAATCTATGAGGTCATTTCATGAAGGAACACCGCTCGCGCGAGAGCCTGCGTGGGTTCGATCCCTTTGATCAGCGAAATTTAGCAACGGAGTTCTCCCATAAAGCTCTAGTTTTCGCTCCGAATTGCCTCACGGAAGAGCAGGTTCCTGGTCCTGATCAACCCGAGAGCTCTTGATTGCGGGCTCCGTGCTTGAAAGCACTAGCTCATACCTGACGCACAGGACGCTGAATTTCGGCAACGATGCCCCAAGCCCGGAAAAAGTGGTCAGGAATCGCACAGAGCGCTAGGATGTTCTTGCGCAATGACTACCGAGGAGCTATCGCGCAACAATTATGTGAGTGCGATTTTCCTGGCAGACGACAATCCTCAGCGGCATTATCCGAGTCCCAATCCATACCATCCACAGATATGGAACTGTATCATTCCTCCTCCAAGAGATTGAAGGAACGACAGCGGTACGTCTCATCAAGAACTCATCGGCTTCCGAATCGAACTCGGGAGTGATCGTGCATAGGCGGGCAGACCTCACTCAGAGAGATTGGAAATCGAGGGAGTCTCATCGTCTCACTTGCGAAGTACAGAATCAGGCAATGAGCGATACGGATGAATTCGTAATTCCTCACTCCTCCGCATTTCGACCTGGGACCTCGTCCACCCATCGATAGGTCCCGAGCAGGGGTACCGAGGTTGGTCTCCTCACGGATATTCCGCCGGCACTAAGAAGGTCCCTACATGAGAGCTGCATGAGAAGTCCGATGAGAGGTGAGGGCACGGGGCCTTGGGCAGCAGCATCCGAATCGACGCGCTCAGGCGCTGCGGGGGGCTGTCTTGGGACTTCCTCCATCGTTCATCACGATTCCGAAACATCGAATCGCAATAAACCAGAAGACAGGATCCATCGACGAGGTTCCCTGAGGCGAGCGAACGGGACCAGAGATCGGATTTCGCGATCGGAGAGGAGCTCTTGTGAGCTTGCTCTCAGCGCCCCCCTGCCGGCGCCGTCTATAAGGTGTCGAGAGCATTTCGAGGAGACGAGCGCGAGAAATTTAGTGGCAGTCAGTGGTCGGTGACGTATAAATAATATATCCAGCCCGGAGCTACCTCCGTTCCTCGTTGAGGTGATCTTGAGTTCCCCTACCTCGAGCTTGGGCAGCGTAGGTCGCGACTTAGCTTGTCTCGGTTATGATCGCGACTTCGCCATGCGAATCAAGATGGGGACAAGAAGATCTTTCATATCTAAGGGAGAGGAGCCGACCTTTCCCCATCCATTTCCACCTCTTCTTCCACCCAATCGGGCAGGGGGATTTTGCAGCGACCCAGCCCATTGTGAATCCCCATGTTCCGCTTCCTGACGCAGAATCTGCCTGTCCGGTCACCACAGGAGGTTAATCGATGGCCGATCCGATCCACATTTGTTTCCATAGACACAATCTCAATTGGGTTATTTCCGATTCAGCTAGGGATCCGGTCCTCCTCCACGGAAACCCGAGAATGGGAGTGAAGGATCATCATCATGAGAGCACCGTGGGCGAGGGCGCCACAGAAGGACAAGTCTCATTTCGGTATCTCATATATATGGGCATGGGACGATTATAGTATCGGAAGGCCTTTCATGCCGCTGGCGCATCGAAAGAAAGAGCCCCTTGTCGCACGATGCCGCGTAAGTTTCGAAGGTCCTGATAACTCACCGGCATAAGAGATTTAAACCGCCCTTCGAGAGAATGTTTCTTTCTCGATGAAAATCCGAGTCGATTCATTTCAGCACCTCCGAGCTACATGCACGACAGTCGCCCGGAACATCAGAATCTTTTGCACTCGCGCTTCATTGAATCGCCGCGCTCCGAGAACCTCTTTCCGTGCACTCGATAGAATCCGAACGATATAACAGAGTGTGTTTAAGAGGCTTTTCACATGATCAATCATGGATCAGTAGACGGTAGGTAGATCGGAGTTGACTATCGGAAGGCACCATCAAGAGATTTCGGCCCTTGGGGGGGGGAGAAGAATATCTCCGCTTCAGGATCCACCGAAGGATTGGGGGACATTGTCACGTCGAACTCCTTGGTTTTCTCTTTGGAAAAAGGAGCCTACTGCGATATTGAGGATCGCTCAACCCGTTCGGCGCGGATTCCAGGCGGAGAGGATTATGAAAAAGGGATTATGCCTTGTACTTGCGTGCGGAATGGATCCGTAATTTATCCTCTCAGAGAGCATTCGAGGTCTGGAAGTATTCGAGCGCAAGGGCCCAGAACCCAAACCCACTCTGGAGCTCAGAGTGAGCAGAGTGGCTGAATCAGCTAGAGATGAGGTTAATGGTGCGTGCCAGATGAAGAATCTCACGGAGTTCTCGGATACCGGCATGCTATAATAGAGTATATTATTTTGCGAATATCTTCTAGTTGCCAGCCCCACCCATAGGCTGTAGTCTCGAGCCTTCCTAGAGACCTCAATGGAAAACCGTGACAATTCCGCCCCGGACTCCTCGATCGCATGCATCGCTAGGCTTTGTTTGAATAAGATGTTCGCAATCCTCCCTTTCGATCGGGAATCCTCTCACAAGAGCCCTCTCCGCTCCCGCGACTATATGTACATGGAAGAGGTCGGAGCCTCGTTGAGAGCTCCTCCGGGAAAGGATGGACGCGACAATTGTGCAATTCTCATGTTTCGATCGGGACGGGAAAGTCGGGAGAGAAAATGAATCCCAATTCCATTCCACCGCGCGTTCTCATTCACCTTGCGTGTTGTGATGAGCGGCCGCTGCTGCCGCGGCCGCAAGTGCCGCACCGCGGAACAGGGCTGCGGCAGGGTTGTTCCAAGCGGGAGTGTTCGATGGGGGAACGAGTAGTCCACAAGCAGCAGCCTGCATTGCCGCACTGCACGGCGATACCGAAGGTTTCGAAAGAATGTCATCTATTCTGTGCGATGTACCCGAATTGAGACTCGTTTGCGAGCTGTTCTCGAACGTCTTCTCGCTTGTCAGTTCTGTCTTGTGTTTGAAAGCCGAAATCCGTTCGTGAAATATATCCTTGGCACTGATATTCGTCGTATCCTTCTTCATTTTGGCGACAAGTTCGAGGTGTGCCGCTTCGTCGTCCGAGCGAAAATCGCTGCCCTGAGTCATTTGCTTGAAGAAACTCATGCTCATTTTGTCGTCGGCGAACATCGGTTTCTTGTCCAGACTCAGTTCGCTCGGATCCTGGTTGTCCTGCAGTTGCTGTTGAGTGTGCTGTTGCTGATGTTGCAGTTGCGATTGCTGACACTGTTGCTGCATTTTGAAGAGATTCGCCGCGGACGGATCGAAGGGATTTCCGAACGTGAGGAATTGTTGGCTGTTGAAGGGATTCATGTGCAGTTGAGGAGTCGGATGTTGACTTGTCTCACTATGGTTCGAGTCCTCCGAGGTGACCGACTGATCCGGGTTATGCATCATATCGAGACTCGAATGCATATTGAGTGAGCTCTCCACAATCCGAGCTCGCGTTCGAACCTGCCCTCTCCGAATCGGTCACGTTGCTGGACGGATCGGAGCTCGACACCGAAGACGACGACGATCCGGGGCGAAACTTCCGCTTCTGCGGACGCACAACAGAAACACAAGCCCCGACCAAGACACACAGACGAGGCGAATTTTCGAAGACTGAAGGCACAACACAAATTAGATGACGTTGAAGTCTCGCACCTCACACGTTCCGCGTATCAGACACTCTCTTCAGCGGGAGGAAAAGCAGTAGCTGGTTACCGCATTGGCTACGACCACCATAGTCTCGTAATAGTTCACTCCACCTCACTTCACGTCACACGCATGGACTTCGATCAACGAACGCTGGCAGCAGCCGCAGCGGGACACGCGAAAAGCTCAGAGTCCGTGCTTCGACCTACGATCGGAACGAGCTGACCAACGAAAATAGATATATTCCGTGGAGATCCTCCCGTGGCTGCTGCCGCTCCCGATGTCGAAGGAGCTCTGTTGGTCGGTCGGTCGGTCGCTTGACTTGCTCGCGTTGGTTGGTCGGTTGTTCGTTCAATGGCAATTGGCTTCGTGCTCGCTGGAAAATAATCTCCCTCTAAACGGAGCAGGAGACGAAGAAGACGGCAGCAGCAGCAGCAGCAGCGGCGGCGGCAGCGAAGACGACGACGAAGAAGAAGAGGAAAAAGGAGGAGGAAGAGGAGGTGGTGGTGGTAGAGGCGGCAGTCGGCCAGCCAGCACAACGGAGCACAACTCTCAGTCGGATGCAGCAGCGACTACAGAAAAAAGCTCTCATGTTATCTAAAAATGATTTGCCGCTGTCGTGGGCGGGTCCTTGCCTCCCATTGGCTGTCGACCGCGCTCCTGGCTCGCGGGAGGGAGGAGCTGTCTCGAGCTTCAGGAGTTCTCTGCCTCCCGTCCCCCGACCGGCAGCGGACGTCGTCGGCTCGCTCGCTCGCGTCTTCTTCTCGCTCCGCCGGCTCAGTCAGAGTTCTTGTCTTGCGCCGCGCAAGCCAACGCAAAACGATGGCGTTCGCTCGCTGCTATAGGTTGCTTGCTCGTTCGCTGGCTCACTTGCTTGCCCGTTTCGCTATGGTTGCTCGCTCGTTCGTTCGTTCTTCCATTCGTTCGCTTACCGAGGCCCGCTTCCCGACCGTCGTTCGCCCGCTCACAGACTCAGATAATGACTGGCTCGCGAAACGACAGAAAAAACGACTGGCCGAGGTTCAGCACAAGCAAATTAAACGAACCATGGGGAATCGCAATAACCCTCGAAAACATTGCGACGTAGAATGATCCTGTCATGATGACTTTTGCCGCTCGGGGAAATTTCCCCCGACTCGAGGATGGCCAGCAGCGTTCTGCGCGCAGAGTCCTCCGAACTTCCAGATGAATCTGTGTAATAATTGCTTATGCTATCATGTCCGTTCGATGGGTGCTGAGTGCTGATTTATGTCTTCGCCAAGGACTCGGAAGGAAGTCGTGCCCGTACCCGAGAGCGCACTCACTCGAGAAAATATGTGTCGAGCTTCCATTCGAGCGTTCTGATTCCTGATTCTTTCATTCCTTTGATGTTCTACTCTACATCACTACGCCTCCGAAACGTCGGAAGCTGCCTCTATCGCTTGCTTGAACGCAGATCGAGGAGATCTATGCGCTCAACCCGGAAGGCTCATCCTTGCGCTGACTAGACCTCCACTGCGAAACATTCAGAGTACCGGTACTTATCAGAGTTTAGCTCTCCCCGTTCAAGTAGATCTCTCCGCCGACAATGCGTGGTCGGGTCCTAATTATGTGAGTTCGATTAAGCTCTCATATGTTGGGAGCGAACTCCACAGCGCCCTGTCCCCTTAGGAGCGAAGTATCTTTCGGCTCAAGGATGATGGTTGACAGTTCCGAACCTTCGATACTCGACAGAGCTCCTTAATCGACACGGATCGGAATGAAATTATGAGCGTGATCTCCCGCGCATGAAGACAGCCTCTCTCTGACCACCGGAAGCAGAACTATCGCGGAACAAACCCTTCGTTTGAAAGATTGAAGAATGTTGGAAACGACATTTACTAGAACAGCGAATACGGCAACAATTTGCGAATGGTCTAGCGGAAGGGGCGGTTTTCACATCTCAAGCGAATTTCCACACTCGGCGAGACGCTGCATCGAGCGGAAGGTCCTCGGATCGAGCCCTTCAGTCGGCTGCTCCCGCGGGAACCGAAAAAAGCTTCCAGCCCATTCGACTGAATGCAGCAGTAAACGCATTCCTCCATCGACGGCCGATCGGGATATAGGACTCCTCTTCTTAATCGAAGGCCGGAAAGCCTCTTTCTCTGGGGTCGTGTAGAGGGAAAGAACGAACGGACTCCTGGAAATTCAATTTCTGTCGAAGCCCAGATGCCTCTGTGACTGCTCGGGTCTGAGGTTTTCGAAAGTTCCTCAAGTTCAGCTGTATGTCATCGAAGAAGAGATGGAGTCAATTCCACGGCAACTTCGCAAAAAGAATCAGAAGCATTCACAGGGAATGAGGGACGTTTTCAATATCCTCCCAGATACGCTTGCACACCCGGGCTCACGCTTGAGCTCACTCGGAGGCACAAATACTCCGAAGGCGAAAGCACCGAAAATCGGGACTTTCTCGGCGTCATTGGTGTTTGACGCTTCTCTCTCCGTGCGCTCCTCTCATCTTTTTTCCAATGTGCTGCGAGTTTTCTGCCTGTTCTTGGCCTCTACCCAAGGAGCCATCTCGATTATTAGAATCGACATCTGAAGCCCTGAGAGGAGAAGAAGAAGGAGGAAAATCAATATGGACTGGATCGACAACAGCGGGAGCTTCTGAAGAACAGAGCGCCGACGCTGCCACCGCTGCCGTAGGAAACGAGAGTGAGCGGAGAGAGCTTGATATGGAAAATGCAATTGAAACCTCGAGCCGCATATGGGGAGAGGATTAGGACGAGAACCAACCACCCGACCGAGTGAGTGAGTGAGCGACCAAGGAGCGGAGCTAAAGTAGCGAGGAATATGCGTTCGAGAAAAGGACGAAGGAATTGCCTATTCCTCAATTTCGTCGTCCTCTTCATCTGGCGAAGCGCGCAGCCGGACAGGCATCGGCAGCAGGAGTGGCTGCACCATGAATAGCCCCCTCGTCATAAAGTCAGCGAGGAGTTCGCTCGACACACCACGCCGACATTTGGCACGAGATCAATCCCAATCTCTCTATTCGTTCGGTAGCCTGCCGAATGCCCCAGCCTCAATATCTGCGAGTAGAGTGAATCGCATCCAATGAATTTTAGATGAGGACCGGATTTATGAGCCTCGCTTTTTCAACAGAAACTGACTCCGGGGCGCATCCATTACCAATGCGTCGACAGAGTAAACAGGTTGCAAATTGAAGATACAACACACGTCCCTCGATGAACAATTCAATGCGGAATAGGAGCCGGAGGAGGCGTATAGGAATCGCTGCTCGCGAGTACTTGTTTTGAGAACTATCGATCGATCCAGAAATTCAAAATGGCCACGACCGACTTGGCTTAATTGAATTGAGTTTCTATAGAAGTTTCTCGATCGGAATCTCTTTAACATTCTCGTAATGATCCTGATCGCTACCGTCTTGATTAGCCTCGCGAATGCGAAGTTGAATGACGAGGAGAGGGGACGAGGACTTTAAGTGGAACGAGCGGAGGAACACCATGCCATCGAGTGGTGGGGGTCCTTTGTTCGCTGCATGGTGGTACTGGCGGTGGGTAGAAGAGAGACAGAGGAGGAGGGGAGAGGAAGAGAGTTGCAAGAGAATCGTTTAACACGAAAGCGGAGAGGACGATGGAGGACGAATCACACATTAATCTCAACCATTCGCTCTCCCAATGATAATGAACGCGCGGCCAAGTGGGCAGGCGGGCGAAAGAGCAAACAAGCGATTGCTCATCCGGTTCAACTACCCGATCAAAGAATCAATCAGTCTATCGAGTGATCCCTGGATCGATCAATTTCATTTCGAGCTGATGAAAATTTTCAAAAATTTCCCGGTTCCAATCTCTGACTCATTCGAGTCCCGATTCAGCCTCCGCTGGACAACAGATTTGGGAGGAACAGATTTTTCGTTGAGGGTTGAAGTCAACGGAAGAAATTCGGGATCAGACCACGGATGAGATCGCGAATTCTCCTTAAGTGAGGGTACCAAGTCGGCAAGGGGCGAAATGAAGTCGCAGGAACGATTTTCGAAGACAAAGAGTGAGTGGTCTGCGATCCCAAAGCAATGGAGCAGGGCTCCTCCTGAAATTTCGATGGCTCGAATCGTTTCGACGCGAAGTCGATTGGAGCCAGCTGAACAGTAAACTCCGTACAGCGACGGAGCAAGTCTTAGTAAGTGTTTCTGTGAGTCTTCGTGAGTGTGTCAGCGTGTTGTAAGTAGAAGCTCGAATTGAATTAAGTGCCAAGCAATCCCCTCGAGATTCGGGGGAGGGGAGGAGAAGAACATATGTCGTCAGATCGGCTGATCTAATAAGAGAGCTATTAACATCTTTACTGCATCCCTCGTCATAAAGTCGTCGTCAACAGTGGCGGCGGCATACTGCTGCTGCTGATGCTGTTATTGTTGGCCGCGTCCGAAAGGCACGAGGTCGATACAGATCGCTCGTTCGCTCGCTAGGGCCGCGACGCGGACAGAGAGCTCTCGAGACTATTCCATGGAAGCGGGGAAACTGTCCGCACAGCAATTCCTCATTCGGCGAGATCGGGATGGAGATCAGGATCGGGAATCGGGGCCTTCGTAATCGAAGCATCTGCGTGAAGGGAATGAATGAATTTGATGCGGATGGAATCGTTCTGTTTCCCGGGGTCATGTGCGGGCAGTTGTGCGAACGAGATTTTCCTCAGGAGCAAAACTACGATCAATTACTGGGGGGCTGGAGGCAGCGCCCCCGTCCCTGGAAGATCTTTTGTCCCGACATCCGGTGAGTTCTCGATTCTAGTCTGGGTCTATTCGCTTCCGGTCATCAGCATTCGGTCACGCATCTTGGTAGCGGGTACAGAGCGGTGCCCGCTATTTCCTCTGAGGCGACCCGGTATCAGGAGAACGGAACTGGAATGCTGTCCAGGATTGTTTCCAAAAAGCAGAGATTAAAGGTTGATTGGCAAATAGCTATGACGCGTAGAGTGGCTTCAATCCTAAGGAACAGAATGGCGGCTTATCCCTGCGGCAGAGACGGCACTAGATTTAGCGGGGAGGATACCTCCAGCGTTGGCCGATCGAAGACGAAGGTGGCGAACGATTGGATTCGCGATCCTTTTCGGACTCTACAATACGATTATTCTCCTTGGCATGCTAGCTGTAGCTGATTAGCTGCGGGTCTCTTTGTCGAAGCTATTCAATAGGACTTCCTGAGGCTTGCTTTCTCTGTGTCAGGTGCGAGGTAGGCTCAGATCGAAACCGCATCTCCCCCTTTGCCAAGACCAGATCGAGACCTCAAATGGAAAACTTCGTCATGGCATGTGCCGATCAGAGCTCTGATGTGTTCAGTCAGAGACTCTTAGAAGGTTCCCGGGACCCCGGGAGACACTCACTCGGACATTCAATGTATCCTCCAGACAGCGCGACATCACATTCCACCCTTAATCGGGTAGCCGGGACCGACGAGGCCGTCCAGGGCGCGGAGCAGCGACAGACGTTGGGAAAGACTCGGCGCTGGTGGTATTCCTTCGTATATCTCTCGATGCTCGCGATAACTGTTTACCTCACGCGTCTTGGTTTTCATCTGTACCTGAACTCAGATGTGGTGGTGAATGCTGGAATCTCACGGCCGTCTCGTGGTGTCGTTCTGCCGGCAGTCACCGTGTGCAATCTGAACCCTTTCCGTCGCTCGATCTTGTGCTCTGAATCGTATCTGAACGTGACGAAAACGCTCTGTTCTTCTACCGACGCATCGGCTTTCGGCGCGCGGTGGCGGCAGCTAACAGTGAACTACCACCGAGCCGATTTGCGTAAGGTACTCGATTTGGCATCCTGGTCCCATGATGATATGATTGAGGCTTGCCACCTCAATGGAGTGCCGTGCAGAGAGTCTTTTTCCACAAGCTCGATTGTGAATTATCCCCTGCTCGGCAAGTGCGTGTGCTTTTTTTGTAACAAGACGCTCGCCAGGGCCGAAGCTAGCTATACCTCACGGCCGAATTTCGAACAAGGACTCTCACTGATTCTCCGAGACCGGCCGTCTGAAAGAGTTACGTCAAACGCAGGCTTCCTCGTTTCCCCTCATGCTCACGACAGGATCCCTATCCTCATGCGAGATACAACGGTGCTCAAACCCTGCGCCACGAATTACTTGTCGATCAGTATCAGGAGGATGCGCGCTTCCCTAGGTCGTCGAACGAAACTCTGCACAGATTCGTGGCCTGAGAGCTTCAAGAACATGCAGCAGTCTGGGAATCCGGTTGTCTACGATCAGAGCTTGTGTATAGACTTGTGCATTTCCCAACAGATCCTGCTGGAATGCAACTGTTCTTACAACAGAAGTATGGACTTCAGGGGGGTTCTAGAAGCCGCTGACGTCTGCGGCTTAAGTTCTGGATGTCATCGAGCCACGGTCGGAAACAGAATAGTCTGCGACTGTCCCGAACGCTGCAAGGATATTTTTTTCAGCCACAGACTTCACCGGAGCGGCTGGAGACATTCGTCGGACTGTTTGCAGAAATCAGCGGAGTTCCAGAGAACGAAGGTCGTCATCCACATGCAAGCGATAACCGTGTTGAACATCAAGGAAGTCGCCAAGCTCGATAAGGCAGAGTTAGCCAATATTTTCGGCGGATTGTTCAATATGTTCATCAATCTCTCGACCATTGCTCTCTTCGAGAAAGTCGAGTCAGCGCTCGTACTCTCCTCGCGTCTTCTACAGGAACGTTGGCGGAGCGTGAAACGACTGGCATCCGGCGGAAGATCCTAAGGCTACGCGAGTCGAGCCAACCTCTCCCGTTATAAGATTGGTATTATGCGGCAGAATTCGGTTTTTGGTGGGAGAGGCTCCCGGAAAAAGTGTTCTCCCTCAACAAGGCGCAGATGAGGAGCCTCCTTCGGGCTTAGGGCGGTGCCCGGTAGTTCCGTGGAAAATCAGGAGGGTGGGGTTCGACGAATGCACAAGGACTTCTTCCGGAACGGAAATAACGCAGGGTGGATAGCCGTCATTCTGGTACTTGCCAGTGACAACTTCCGAGAAAAAGAATGGGGGCTGAATGAAGACCATCTACCAGTAGTGCAGAGGTTGGGAGTTTTTTACCGTCGAAATTTAATCAGAGGTGACTTCGGTTCATGTTCGTTTCCTTGTGGGGGGCAGGAGTCAAAGGTTTCCCGCGTGATGGCTGCCCTGGTTCCTCTGATACAAAAATGTCGACAAGGACTGAATGTCGCGAAAGTCAGATAGTAACAAGGCCTCAGTTTTCGGCGTCTCTGGCAGAACATCACTAGGGAGGTGACGTAGCACGTTTCATTAAGGAAGTATGCAGACTCAATTTTCCGGTCCTCTGGGGAGACGGCGGCACCCAAAAGCTCATATATTGTCGCTATCACATCGATTCAGATCGCTCATCTACGGACATAACTCCGTATTCCCTGCAGCTGAATCCCATGAAAATTGTTGTATTCTGAGCAGACCGCAAAAGATTGCCCAACCCTGATCTAGTGTAATCAGCTGCTCACGGAACAAATGCTCAGTGTCCATACAAGGTCAGTACTCCGGATTTCCGCCTCCCCATTCCAACATGAGGGAGGAGCTTTTCCGACGTTGAATTAGCTTAATATTTATACGAGCCGCGGAGAGGGCAGGGTCGGTGGTGAAGTCACACGGGGGAATGTTCGTCCGCCCTCTCAACCACAGACCGTAATCTTCAGCAGAGTCCTCAGCTCATGTCGATACCCGCTTCAGTGCTCTCCCCCACCAGCAACCTAGGAATGGAAGAATACATATACAGTGGCGGTCAAAATAATAGAGCCACCTAAAAACTTCGTCTTCTTTTTTCGGAGGTCCGTAACTTTTCAAAAACTCCGCCGAATCGGACGTTTTTTTCTTTGAAATTGAAGAGAATTGGATGAGCTTTCCAATGAACACGTCACTTCTGACATTTGAATGCGTTTTGGGGGACTTACAGCCATCTCAATATCGCTTATTTTCGAAATTTTCTATCTCATTTTAAAGCCCTCATAAGTCGGGACGAGGGTATCGCATCGGCTCGGTGTGGTCGGCATCTTGT